CATATTCTTGCTATTGTTTATCATATCTATAGTATTTGATAATATACATTTATAATCAAACTGTCATATCAATAATATTTGACAGATAAATACGATAAACATTCTGTTACTGTTTTATATTTTATAGTTGGTTTTTTTTTTTTTTTTTTTAATATATAAAACATTTATGAATTTGAAAAGAAAAAAAAAAAAAATTAATACTTTAAAAGAAATAAAATTTAGTGAGAAGCATAATGTAATATTACCTTTCTCAACATTTTTAATATTAATTGATTAAATGATTATACTTATTACTTGATTCTATTCAACAAAATGAAAAAATTACGCTCATAAGCAAACTAAAAAATTTTCAAATTTGTAAATTTTGCTTCATGCAATTGTATTCAAAGTTGAAATCAAAAAAAAAAATATTTTACCAAAAAAAATTAGCGAATTTTTATATTTCGTACGATAAAATCATATATGATTATATCAAATTAATTTCAAATTAATCGATAAATATTTTGATCTCAACTTTTGTTCACCTTTTCCTATTCTTTTGTCGTTTTTCCACCTTTTTTTTTTTTCTTTAAAAATATTAAGACAGAAAAATTTATATAAAAAAGAACGAAGAAAAATTTCATATATGTATAATGAATGAATGAATAGATAATCGAACAGTATGAATTTCTCTTCCAAAATAAAACTGTTTCAAATCTTATATATTTACTTTTTTTTTATTTATTATTTTAAGTTATTATTGAGTTATTATTAAGTTATTAAGCTTATATATTTATTAAATTTTAAGTTATTATTGAAGATTAATTTAGAATTTAAATCTAAAAACTGTAATGAAATGAACGAATGAAATTTTTGAAAAATAAAAGAAGAAAGAAGCATATTAGATAGATGTATCAGTATATTAGAAAATATACTGATACATTTGATTAGTGAATAACTTAATAAAACGAACTCAAATTTCAAACTAATCAGTACATAAAATTTTAGAAAAAATTGAATAAAAAATTTCGAATAAAAAATTACAAAAAAAAAAGAAAAAATAACTAATTTGTTACTTTTATTTTTGCTGTTTATATAAGCGTTAAGTTTATTTTAAAAATATTTAACTCATTTTTTTTTTTTTGTATATATGAAGATTTTCACGTGAAATTGTTAACTATTACATAGTGTCGTTTTGAATTTACATGTCAGTATTACTAAAAATTAATCAATATTGCTAAAATATTTGTTAAATATTATAATTTTTTGATAAATTGACAATTTTTTAATCAGAATAAAAACAAAAAAAACAACAATTTGAACAGAATAAACAAGAATGTAAAATGATTTTACAATGATTAAAATTGATAGCAAATGGAAAAAAAATTATATCATTTGCTTTAAGTTATATTGATTTATAAGCAAATAAAAAATATTAATTATGATATAAAATTTTTTTTTATTGCGAAGAGAAAAAAATTAAAAGTACGGGAAAGCAATAATTAATTTTACTAATTTTTTCCCTTCTACGTCAAATATAAAATGTGAAGAAATTTAAATTTGCATAATGTTTTTATCATTTTATTCTGATAACGAAAAAAAATGAATTTGAAAACGAATAACTATTCTTGCAATAATTATAACTAAATATGAACAAAAAAAAAACCTACAATGAAATAAATTAAATATGCTATAAAAATTTGTTGAAGGAACATTTAATGGAAATAAATTCTTTCTGTTCCTTTTTTCTTCCATATAAATTTATAAATTGATTGAAAAGTAATTTTCTAATTTTTTTTTTCTCTTCTTTTATCGAAATAATTCCCAAAAGTACTTCCAAATAAAGAAAAAATTCAGAGAAAACAGAAAAAATTTTTTAATGAAACTAATTTTGATATTCTAAAATTAACTTCATTGGAATGTATTTCTGTTTTGAAAACCATTGCCAGTTTTTTCAAAGGCGTAACAAAAAAGTGCTTTCATTGCATATTAAAATTTAAGAGGAAAAATTCGAAATTCAATGGAATTAATTTATTAAATAATATAAGCAAAAGAATTTTTATAAATTTTTGGTATAGGATAAAATTTTTGAGATAAAATATAAATAAAATGCAATTTAATTATTAAAATGGAAGATTGAAATAAAGATAGATCGGAATAAAATAGAAATGAAATAATAGTATATGAGCATAGCAAGAGTAAGTTATGATAAATGTAATAATACAAATATTGATAAGTAATAATAAGTTCACTGATTAATTAGTGATTGTTAACAACAGTTGAAATCCAAATTTTATCATTCTCATGACAAATGTTAATTAATTGAAGCAAAAAATGATATTTTTAAAATCTCATTTAAGGTTTAAAATATACCTGTTTTATTTGCTTAAACACCAGATACGGTATGACAAATAAATTTTAATTGAATGAGGAAAGAATGGATTTAAATTTGAAAACACAGAAATAATTTTTTTGCTTTCAATTGATAATATTTCAATTTGAATTATTAATTGCTAAGATATATATATTTTAAAATTTTATTTTTTCTCACTAAAATTAATTCGTAAATTTGTGCTTTTTTTTAATATATAGAATAAAAATATAACCTAAAATAATAATATAAATAGATTGATTGAAAATTATCATTGAAATTGATAGCTGGAACAAGAGCACTATGTAATAATAATAACAATAGTTTAGAAAAGATAACTGATTAAAGAGATTAATTATTGATATTTAAAAAAGACAATAATTATTATCAATTTGTGCCTTAATATTAATTTTGCTTAATTATTAAGAAAAACACTTGAAAATAAATGAAAATAATGGATAACATATCCAAAACTGTGATAATAATTCTCTTAGCTATTTGGTCAGTTTTATCTAATTAATTAATTCTATAAAAAAACAGAAATAAAACAAACGTTTTTATGCCTTTCATTTGAAAACAATTTCAAATTTAATTTCGAATTATACAATAAATTTTAATGGCAAAAAAACCAAAAAAGCTTTTTGTTATAAGAAAATAGTAAACAATAATTTTTTGTCTTAGCAATTACTATAATTTTTTATGAATTTTCCGAAAAATTTTTCAATAATTTTCTCACTTTATTAAGTAATTAGACAGTTTCTGGTGGCCCAAGTAGTATAGTGGTTAGTACTCCACGTTGTGGCCGTGGCGACACAGGTTCGATTCCTGTCTTGGGCAACTGTAAATGGATGGATGCAACAAAAATATTCCCTCCCATTTTCTCATTTCTGAAAATGACAATGCATAATTGAATTTGATCTTCTTTTTCACTGGTCTATAAAATGTAAGCATTAAACATTTTAAAACAATGAGCAAATTTTTTTTTTTTTTCAAGAAAATAGCAAATTTGAATTTTTATCATTAATTGTTAATTTAGTCAACAAAATTAATAAATTTTAGAAAAGCAATATAGGTTAAAATTAAATAAAAATTATTCATATTGTGCTATAAAATTTATAGAAATCTGATAATGTTAACATCATCATCTATTTGTATTTCATTTCTATGTTATCATTAACCTATCAAAACTGTAAACTGATAATTAATTGTTTGTTTTGAAATAATCATGATCTCGATTATCTTTTTGTGGATGTGTCTTTGTTATCTTATCAGTGATATTAGCTACTGTTATCAATAATAGTGTTTCATATTATTTAGTGCAAATGATATGATAAATGTATCATATCATTACTTTTTAAAATATATGGATGCTATCCAAATTGTCTTTATTTACTCTTCTATTTAGATAAACATACAGAGAGAGAGAGAGAGACATCATCAGGTAATATTGATTCATTATTCTTAAAAATATATCACAATTGATTATTTTCATGTGACATTGCAGCACGTGTCTTTTATTTTTGCATTCTTTGGATTTATCAATTCATCATCTCATATTTTGTTTAATCAATTAACTTACATTGTATTAGTTATAAGTTTGTCCACTGTGACAGTAGTATGCAATGTTATGTTCAGAAAATAAATTTGAAATAAGAGTAATACGGTGTGAAGTTATCATATCAAAAAAAAAATCTTCACAATCACTTTGTTCGTTTATGTTATTTAATAAATTGCTTCAGTCATTCATTCTATTATTTATATTTCAAATTTCTTTTTATCGACTGAAACATTTTAAACAGCAAAAATGATTTGCATATATAAGAAATAAATGTATGTTGAGCTATTTAAAGAAAAGTTTGTTTGTTCATTTGTAAAAGGGAACGTATCTGAAGTTGGTAATGCTGAAATATAAGATTATATTTCGAGCACTGATACTGAGGTCAACATATTCAATTGACCTTTTTTTTCTATTGCTGTATTGAAGATGACAAAGGATTTAAGTTAAAAAGGGACAAACATAAATGTAGAAAATATTTGAGACACTAATTAGTTAGATTTAGAGTTTTACAGAAGAAAGGACTAAATGCTCTTATGCATTTGTATGTATTAATTACGGATAATAATTTTGTGAAATTACATAAGCAGCACAACTCAGTCCATATGTTAAAATAAGTATGAATGTATGCTTATACATTAAAGATGTCAATAAAAGATTAAACATTGATGTGAAACTTTTTCAAAAAAAAAAAAAGAAAAAAAAAAACACTGTCAAATAAATTCTACAAAGAGGAAAGAGTAATGGTCTAGTTTCGTTCGTACGCTTCAAGGATTCGTTGTTTGATCGCTGTATCTACTATATCGATCTTCTTTTTCTCAAAAAACTACTTTAGTAATAATAATAAATAATAATAATAATATAATAGTAACAACAATAATAATAAACAATAATAATATTATAATAATAACGGTAATAACAATAATAATAATAATAATAATAAATAATGCTAATTTTTACTGTGTATACTTATTTACCTGTAGATGGAAAACAAAAAAAAAAAGGAAAGTTCATGTGCAAAATCACATTTGCTGGTTAAAAATGAATGATTTATTTCACATCAGTGTAAAAGGAAATGATAAAGTACGATGGATCTTATATTGTTAGTTTGGGTAAACTTCGAGGAATTTTTGGACATATATTGCCACACTTCAGAAGCATGCATAAATGAATCAAATGTAATGTATCCAGTGCTTCTTGTTCATCTTTTTCACCAGGTATATGCCCGAGATTATTTGTTGCTGCCTAAATAATTTCACTGAAATTAATTTTTTTTTCCTTTTGAAATTTTTTCTTTTCATAGTTGCATGATAAATAATTAAAACTGATATGGTATTTAGCTTTATCCACTGATATAAAAGGATTTAAATGCTTATGCTAAAATTATTACTAATAATATCTTACAAATGATAAAACTGACATTTGCAATATCGTACCAACATGTTCTTTTGCAACATTGACAAATACTTTTCCCTTTCTGTTTTACAGAGCAAGCGCTTGTTGATGTATCAAACCCTAATTCTAGAAATATAATTCATTTTGGATAAGCTTTAAAATTGAAATATATTTTGAAATTGAATGTGACATTATTAATTAAGTGCATTTATTTATTTGCCTCACACATTCCAAATGGAAAACATAGTTTTAAATTTTTTGATTGAAATTTTTGAAGTCCTACTAATTCCAGTTACATAATTCTCATCAAGTAAGCCAATTTAAATTCAAATGGAAGATTCTTACCTGTAAAAGCTAATAAGTTTGTCATCAAAAGTGCCATTAATATCAATAAGAAATGTATTTGCATTATTTTGCTTCAATACCAAAATACTAATAAATTGTAAAATTCAAAATTTGTATAACACTGTTTTTTTTTTTCCTTTTTTTTTTTTTGGTTGAATTAAAATTGATCTTTAGAAAACGATGATAACAAATTACTATAATGAAAAGCGCAATAAACAGTTATGCATTAATGTTAGATGACTAAACTACAGTTAGAATTAAAACCAATTTAGCATTAAAAAAGTAGAATCCTAATTAACAATTAGAAAAATAATATTATATTTTTGATACCTAACCTTGCCGACACTTTCTTACTTTGTTAGCTATTTCCTTGTTACTACGAACTAATTATTAAGAAATAATTAACTGACCAATCTATGGGAAAATCATTCTAATATCCCAGAAATTATTGTTTAACCTTTCAAACTATCAATTATTTAGAGGCTTATCAATGGGAAATTGACTTTTGTTTAGATCAAAATGCAACAAATAATTAAATTGTGTGATATATGATGAATCGATCTGATTTTATTTATTTATAATTTCAAATACTTTTTACAATTTATATTTCTCCAGATATATTCAAAAAATATGGAAAATTTATTAAAATTATGGATTAAATTTTAATTTCCAAACTTAAACCCTAATTTTCAGCAGTAAAAGAGTTTTGGAGCAAAAATGTAGAGAAACTTAATTAAATGGTGCTATTATTATATATGGAAAACTATGAAAGGCTAGCTTTAGGAAGGCGTGATTCATCATTGAAGATGTAAGAAGGAATCTGAAGAAAATTTTAACGATTTGCTTCAAATTAGACCGACTTTCTTTTTTTTTTAATATATTAATGGACAAAAAAAAGTAAAATGAATTTCAGATTTCTAAAATCAAACAATTCTCATTGAAATTAGAACGAAATTTATAATTGATAATGATGAATAAGATATAATATAACAAAAGCCAGCAATATGTCTTTATGCATTATTTTAATGACTTCAAAAATGCTGATTAAGGCGATAAGTTTAAAATCTCAAAATGTCATTCATTCCTTGACGATTATCTTAAAAAAAAGATACTTTACTTGAAGATTCAATTTTTTTTTTTTTATTTTGTTGAAAAATTATTTTAAAAGTTTCACTTTATCATTATCATTATTATTAAAGTAAAAAAAATGAAATGAAGACACACTATTAATAAAACGGAAGCTTATGAAAAGAAAGGAAAATTAATGCTAAAGCTTTAATAGAGTTCAAGAAAAAAGATTGGTTCCACATTCCATTTTTAGACGGCTGTAAAAAAAAATAAAACATCAACATTTATGTTATTTTTTAATAATACGAAATAAAATCCATAAAATATTTTATTTGGCTAAATAAATTTACAATTAAGTTAAAAGAAAATTTACAATTAAGAAAAGAAAAAAAATAAAAAAATATTATTAAAAATATCATTTATATTATTAATGGAAATTTTATGAAGAAATAAATTACGAAATGCTATTTATAAATTTCAATAAACCATATATTTTCATGCTATAATATTCAGTTTAACTCATCATTATTCACTGAAATAAATATTATTATCGATAAAATAATTACTGCAGATGTGCATTCATTCCTTAAGGAGTAAAATAGAATTTTTTTTTTCTTTTTTATTTTAAATCAAAACGATAAACTTTTGGATATTATGCGAGCCAATCAATCAGTAATCTTTTAGGTAGATTCACTAGAAATTACTGAAAAAAGAAAAAAAAAAAAAACTATTCAAAAAAAAAAGGAAACCTGTTATAAAATTGTGAAATTTGAAAAGTCAATTGGTAATTTATCTTGATAATTTATTTTGAAGCATTTTTTCATATGCTTTTTCTTTATATGATAATTTCTTCGGCAAAGGTTTATGTGCAATATATAACCACATATACATATATATTTATATAACACAGGCGTCAATATCAAAAGGAAAAATCCATTTTAAATTTGCATAAATCGGATTAAGAATTAAAATTTAAAGATTTTTTTCAAAATTAAAAATTCTTTGAAAAATTTTGCACATTTTATAAATTTCATAAATCATTTAATGGAAAAAGAAAAGAAAATACTTCTGTAATAAAAGTCGTCAAATATTTTTTTTTATTTTTCGACTATTTTTTGACTGAATTGAACTAAACCTTCAGAAAAAATAAAATATTTCACAAAAGTTGATTTAGTTTCATTATGCACTCCTTTTTTTTCGGAAATTCACTATTTTATTAAATCATATATATGAATTTTCCAAAAAAAAAATAAGCGAATCTTTTTTTTTTTGAATAATTTAAGAAAAAAATAAGCAAAGATGAATAACAACTGGAAATGATGCTACTGTAGGTAAACATTAAAAATAGTGACAAAAAATTTTTATTTAATTTGAAAAAATAGTATACGAAATGAAGATTGGATTAATTTTTGCTAAATCATAAATTAATAAAGAAAGTGTGGAAAAAGATGATGAATTTTATTAGTTTTTCCTGCCTTCAGTACATTCATTTTGGTTTGTATAACTAAGTCATGCCACACTAATCAAAACATCACTACTATATTCATGGTAGATAACTGTTCATATGCTGATAAAACTAGCAAAGGAAACTAAAAGCAAAGGAAAAATAATTCGAATCAGCAATTCTATTATTGATAATAAATGGAAAATTAAGGAAACTAGACACTTAGCTATTAAGCAACGAGTCGCAGCATAATATAACATCCAGTTACTTCAGGAATTCTTCTGTATAACTGGAAGGATTTTGAAATTGAAAAATAAAGCTTATAAACGATCAAAATTTTTAATTTCAATTTTATTCCCACTTTTTTTGCATAAATTTCAGGATCTTCTGCATTTATCTATTGATTTCTCGCACTTTAAGATCTACCTTCAGAAATGTATTTCGTTTAGAAGCTTAAACTCACATAATCGTGGAAAAGGCAAATCAAAATGAAACGTGAAATGTGGAAAAATATGTCCGTATACTGCTACTAAAACTTCTTTAACACACAAAATTTCAAAGCTTCAGGTTTGAAATCGATTTTTCAAATTCGCAAGAAGGCAATATGGTAATAATGTAAATTTTTTTGCAAGAAGACAATATGGTAATAATGTAAATTTTTTAAATAAGAATTTGGAGAGGATTACAATACCGATTTAAACTTTTTTTGCACTCTCTAATTTCTTCCACTCTTTTCGTTCTTCCGGTTCTAGTATCATCTACACAATTCTGTTCACATGTTCCGCTATTTCTTCTTTGATAAATCTGTAAGCAATATTGCTAAACAAAAACATCAAAACATAAGATTTTAACCATACACGTGTTAAAGGTCAATGTCAAACTCAACCAGTTTTATAATATGTCGAAATACTCGCGTAGATTTGTATTAAGTCCATATGTAGAAATTTATAAATAAAATTTAAAATTTTTAAAATGGTAAAGCGTGGTAAACATATAATGAGTATGTTCAGATTTTAGAATTGTTATTATTCCTTGTAAAATCAAATTAATTATATTTCACTCATCGGAAAAAAATCGAACCAATTTCATTACTACACTTGGTATTTTCAGATAAATATATACCGTTTCAGTTTTATTAGTCAAATTTTTGTTCAACTTTTATCTTCCAATTGTAACTAAGCTCGCGCGCATTATTGAGAATGTTGCAGATTGTTGCCAGCTTATAATTAAGATCTACCAGTCTGACAATTCATACTTGATCGTTAAAAGATTGCAAGTTCTTTGTTCGATTAGCTTTCATTGTTATAAACCAGTCCTATCTGCAATGTTGAAATATTTAGCAGTTTTCCATTCTGGTATTCTCTTTCATAAGCGACTGAATTAAACAAACTTCAATATATAAAGAGTAAGGGTCATCAAAAAAGTGACAACTTTTTACTAACTCGTATTACTGTAATCATGTGCATTGGTTCACAGTATAAAAAGATAAAACTATTGTCTGAGTTCAGTTTTTGAGTATAGCAACTTTTCGATTCATTAATCACAGTATTTCATTCACTTGCTCACTTATTTCACTTCCAAACAGTTGGTGGCTCAACAGCAGAACGACAACAGTTAGAAAGCGAAAAAATGGCAACATTGTCAACATTTGACGGATTGTTGGTACAGTTGAATAACTGTGTGCTGTTCACTTCTCTTCTACAATAAGCCTGATATTGTTAACAATTAAAGCATTATCAATATTTTGCAATTAAAAGAATAGCAAAAACATACAAATTTTTTTTCGACAACTGGATCAGTATGGAAACTTCAGGCAATTCCACTTATTGGTAATACTGATGCATTGATTATAGATATTATTTTTTAACCATGTTATTATGTACATATACATATTCGGTAAACCAAATTATAATATGTAGAGGTAAAATTGTATTAAATCCATTAAATTAAAAAAGTTCCGACAAATGTTCCAATCTCACGTAAGAAATCGTTTATCCGACTTTCATGTTTCATGTAGCTGAGCCTATTTGTAATGCCACATTTTAATAAAGAATACGCATTGGAAGTTGTCTCCGATTCGAATATTGTTAAAATTATCAACTTATTACTTAGTTAACATCTTTTGATGTTTTATTGCTTGTCGGCTCCGTAAACGATTTCCTAATTTGACAAGATTAAGAGTTCTTCGTTCAGTTGACCTCCTTAATCATAAAATTATTTTGCTATAAACTACTGCTTCAGTTTGACTGTACAATCTCTAATCGCCAATCAGATTGTATTTCAGGCAGTCGAAATGGCAAAATTTTGAAAATGATAATTTTTTGATTCCGATCCACGTAGTTACAATGAATTAATTGGATCAGGAAAATGAATAAAATTCGTCACGTTACGATATCCAACAATCACACAAAACTTAAATTGCTGAAACAAATAATAGCCCCTTAAAGGGCTTCCAAAAAATATGTTCAACAATAACTGAAGCTGAGTTGGACATAACTCCATTTCTGAGCTTGATGGAATTCCATCTGAAATCTGGAAACATATATTACGCATTTTCAAATGCATTTTCAGATGCAACAAAAGTACGTATTTTCAAATGTATGAAAAGTCATGATGATGCAGTCATTATCATCTGAGAAAAATCAGATCAAATTATTTTGCTTTTTATAGCTAGTAAAATACTTCCAAGAATACTTTTAAATAGGCTGGTATCATTGCAAAAGTATTTCTATATGACAGTTAATGTGTTTTACAGTTAATAGAAATATATCTATTATTCGTTCTCAGATATCTGGAAGAAATTGTGAAAATATAATATAGGACTTTAGGTGACATTCGTTCACTTTGACATAGCAGAAAAGATTTACGGGAAGTGATTAGGATGTCTCCTAAGTTTCCCAAGTTCATTGCTATTTTGCATAAGGATCAGCGCAATAAATCAGATATGAAAATTTTTTTCTCTAGGTCTTTCTGAATAATCAACGACGTGAAGTATAGTTCATCTATTAGCATCAGAAGCAATAGAGATTTACAAAAGAGTAGCAAACGCATCCAGAACATTCAGCAAATATAAAAAAACACTACAAAGACATTTATAGTGTCTACTCTCATATACAAATCTAAATTGTAGAAATCAACCTCGCCATCATCTGCAACTCATGAACGTTTCCATCAGTGTTACCTCCTCACATCCTAATCCACTACACTTATCACATGAGTAGTGCTGTCGTTACAAACAAGAATCACCACTGTCCCCGATTCGAATACTGTTAAAATTATCAACTTATTACTTAGTTAACATCTTTTGATGTTTTATTGCTTGTCGGCTCCGTAAACGATTTCCTAATTTGACAAGATTAAGAGTTCTTCGTTCAGTTGACCTCCTTAATCATAAAATTATTTTGCTATAAACTACTGCTTCAGTTTAACTGTACAATCTCTATTCGCCAATCAGATTGTATTTCAGGCAGTCGAAATGGCAAAATTTTGAAAATGATAATTTTTTGATTTCGATCCACGTAGTTACAATGAATTAATTGGATCAGGAAAATGAATAAAATTCGTCACGTTACGATATCCAACAATCACACAAAACTTAAATTGCTGGAACAAATAATAGCCCCTTAAAGGGCTTCCAAAAAATATGTTAACAATCATAAATACTCTCCTGCACGGAAATCTTTAGTAAAAGGCGAAAGATTTTCTCGGTCAAATGCAGGAGAGCAAGACAAACAAACCCATCACTGAATCAATGTTATAGCCAATTTCGCAAGGATTTTGCAGTGGTTCAGTGGACGAAAGAGGCGAATAGAGAAAAGTATTCTCAGTTGCGATACGGTTGAATGTGATAGCGGAGTTCCATTCGAGGGTGCATTTAGTTGCATTAACAATTAGTTCTTTTACTCTTGATGTCGTTGCAAGTGATGCATCGAAAGAGAAAAAGAGCATGCTCTTTATACATCTGCTAGAGAATTGCAAAACCTATCAGAAGTTTGCTGCAGCATGAACTATTATTGAATAGCAATGGGATTGCAGTATCGCTTCTCGGCCTATTGGCTAAGATCAAAGTGTAGTATCTGTTCTTATCAGCTTAATCTCTGATATGTGGTCAATCGATCACTTCGAGATTATCCTATTTTTGAGACCATGGTGGGTTTGAAGGGGCTTGCTCCTCACCTACCGCGGGTCGACCCGGTATTGCACCTACCTCCGGGAACGGCCCATTCACCCTTTGGGGTGAAAGTTGAATTACCGAAGATGCTGGAATAATTAATGTATGGTAAACATTCACTATACACAGTAACTCTGTTTCATCCAACATCACATAAAAGACTGCCCAGTGCATCTTTTCAAATGTCAAGATTAAGACAAATAAAATTTGAATTGTTAATTAATCAATAGTATACATATATAAAATGTACCATTATATATGAGTCCTTTAGATCGTTTATAGATGGTAAAAATATGCGCAACTTTGCTTGCTGATTTTTAACCTAACAAGCAAGAGTATAATCAAAATGTTTTTGCTAAGATTCACTAATTGGTCATATTAACATGAACATTAATAATTTGAGCAATAATCACACGACCAAATCTTAAAAAATATATATATATATATATATATACATATTTTTTTTATATTTAATATTTTAAGCATTAAAAAATTTGGAAGAAAAATAGTTGCAATTTAAAAAGGAAGTAAGGCACACATCTGTAACAAAATATTCCTACTTGTGTTTTTAGATAATTTCACAAATCTTTAAATTCTCCTGACCTCGATGAGAACTAATTCACCCTCAAAATATTTCCGAATATAAGCTAATAGCAAGACATTTGCATTTAATGCTATATCATTTCTTAAATGCGCGAACGGAGCAAAATACGCAAATAAAACAAAAAATTTATAATAATTTATTAATTTTTCATCTTATATGCATGGTTTTTCGAACAATATTATAAATTATGGTGTTCAAGTGCAAGGCGCAAGTCTACCAAATTTGGTAGATATAAAAAGTCATTTAAGCGAAGAAACCGCTGATTGATACTTCGGTAGATATTTTGAAGCATTTTAAATAAAACCTGTGTTATTTTTTTAATAATTCTTCAAATGTTATTTAATTGAGATTTAGACATAAAATGCATATTTCACCAGTTCGTTTACTGTCGCCACTTTCTTTCATCACGTTTTTTTTGTTTTTTTTGTTTTTTTCACAACTGCAACTATTATCTGAATTGGCGATGATTTTGATATAAACAGATCATGTATTAAATAGCAGAAGTAATTATATATATATATATATTATATAATGTGTACCAAAGGGTATATATAAATTTATACATCTGTTTGATGTCTATAATGAACAAATTTATATAATGAATAATTATATGGGCAACCATCAAAGACAATAATATTATGCTTTAATAGTTGCATGATTTCATTCACGATGCCTCAATGTGGACTGAGAAATCCTAAATATTATGTTAATCTCTATTTTACCACAATATACAGCATCTTAGCGTTTCATTCTGGTACAAGGAAAAATACTGCGCCAATCGTGATCTATAACGGGATGATAATCATTTCGTTTTGCTTTTTTTTTGGCATTGTCGGTAAATCCCAATATAACATATCGAAACAAACTTTTATTAAATCCGCACAACTTGTCTTACTTGAATAATCCTTAGGCAAATGCTTCAATTAAGAAACTTTTCTAATTGAAAAGCGAGTAACATTAAAGTAAAGATTGTCTTATTGAACATAATTTTCATGTTAATATGACCAATTAGTGAATCTTAGCAAAAACATTTTGATTATACTCTTGCTTGTTAGGTTAAAAATCAGCAAGCAAAGTTGCGCATATTTTTACCATCTATAAACGATCTAAAGGACTCATATATAATGGTACATTTTATATATGTATACTATTGATTAATTAACAATTCAAATTTTATTTGTCTTAATCTTGACATTTGAAAAGATGCACTGGGCAGTCTTTTATGTGATGTTGGATGAAACAGAGTTACTGTGTATAGTGAATGTTTACCATACATTAATTATTCCAGCATCTTCGGTAATTCAACTTTCACCCCAAAGGGTGAATGGGCCGTTCCCGGAGGTAGGTGCAATACCGGGTCGACCCGCGGTAGGTGAGGAGCAAGCCCCTTCAAACCCACCATGGTCTCAAAAATAGGATAATCTCGAAGTGATCGATTGACCACATATCAGAGATTAAGCTGATAAGAACAGATACTACACTTTGATCTTAGCCAATAGGCCGAGAAGCGATACTGCAATCCCATTGCTATTCAATAATAGTTCATGCTGCAGCAAACTTCTGATAGGTTTTGCAATTCTCTAGCAGATGTATAAAGAGCATGCTCTTTTTCTCTTTCGATGCATCACTTGCAACGACATCAAGAGTAAAAGAACTAATTGTTAATGCAACTAAATGCACCCTCGAATGGAACTCCGCTATCACATTCAACCGTATCGCAACTGAGAATACTTTTCTCTATTCGCCTCTTTCGTCCACTGAACCACTGCAAAATCCTTGCGAAATTGGCTATAACATTGATTCAGTGATGGGTTTGTTTGTCTTGCTCTCCTGCATTTGACCGAGAAAATCTTTCGCCTTTTACTAAAGATTTCCGTGCAGGAGAGTATTTATGATTGTTAACATATTTTTTGGAAGCCCTTTAAGGGGCTATTATTTGTTCCAGCAATTTAAGTTTTGTGTGATTGTTGGATATCGTAACGTGACGAATTTTATTCATTTTCCTGATCCAATTAATTCATTGTAACTACGTGGATCGAAATCAAAAAAATTATCATTTTCAAAATTTTGCCATTTCGACTGCCTGAAATACAATCTGATTGGCGAATAGAGATTGTACAGTTAAACTGAAGCAGTAGTTTATAGCAAAATAATTTTATGATTAAGGAGGTCAACTGAACGAAGAACTCTTAATCTTGTCAAATTAGGAAATCGTTTACGGAGCCGACAAGCAATAAAACATCAAAAGATGTTAACTAAGTAATAAGTTGATAATTTTAACAGTATTCGAATCGGGGACAGTGGTGATTCTTGTTTGTAACGACAGCACTACTCATGTGATAAGTGTAGTGGATTAGGATGTGAGGAGGTAACACTGATGGAAACGTTCATGAGTTGCAGATGATGGCGAGGTTGATTTCTACAATTTAGATTTGTATATGAGAGTAGACACTATAAATGTCTTTGTAGTGTTTTTTTATATTTGCTGAATGTTCTGGATGCGTTTGCTACTCTTTTGTAAATCTCTATTGCTTCTGATGCTAATAGATGAACTATACTTCACGTCGTTGATTATTCAGAAAGACCTAGAGAAAAAAATTTTCATATCTGATTTATTGCGCTGATCCTTATGCAAAATAGCAATGAACTTGGGAAACTTAGGAGACATCCTAATCACTTCCCGTAAATCTTTTCTGCTATGTCAAAGTGAACGAATGTCACCTAAAGTCCTATATTATATTTTCACAATTTCTTCCAGATATCTGAGAACGAATAATAGATATATTTCTATTAACTGTAAAACACATTAACTGTCATATAGAAATACTTTTGCAATGATACCAGCCTATTTAAAAGTATTCTTGGAAGTATTTTACTAGCTATAAAAAGCAAAATAATTTGATCTGATTTTTCTCAGATGATAATGACTGCATCATCATGACTTTTCATACATTTGAAAATACGTACTTTTGTTGCATCTGAAAATGCATTTGAAAATGCGTAATATATGTTTCCAGATTTCAGATGGAATTCCATCAAGCTCAGAAATGGAGTTATGTCCAACTCAGCTTCAGTTATTGTTGAACATATTTTTTGGAAGCCCTTTAAGGGCTATTATTTGTTTCAGCAATTTAAGTTTTGTGTGATTGTTGGATATCGTAACGTGACGAATTTTATTCATTTTCCTGATCCAATTAATTCATTGTAACTACGTGGATCGGAATCAAAAAATTATCATTTTCAAAATTTTGCCATTTCGACTGCCTGAAATACAATCTGATTGGCGATTAGAGATTGTACAGTCAAACTGAAGCAGTAGTTTATAGCAAAATAATTTTATGATTAAGGAGGTCAACTGAACGAAGAACTCTTAATCTTGTCAAATTAGGAAATCGTTTACGGAGCCGACAAGCAATAAAACATCAAAAGATGTTAACTAAGTAATAAGTTGATAATTTTAACAATATTCGAATCGGAGACAACTTCCAATGCGTATTCTTTATTAAAATGTGGCATTACAAATAGGCTCAGCTACATGAAACATGAAAGTCGGATAAACGATTTCTTACGTGAGATTGGAACATTTGTCGGAACTTTTTTAATTTAATGGATTTAATACAATTTTACCTCTACATATTATAATTTGGTTTACCGAATATGTATATGTACATAATAACATGGTTAAAAAATAATATCTATAATCAATGCATCAGTATTACCAATAAGTGGAATTGCCTGAAGTTTCCATACTGATCCAGTTGTCGAAAAAAAATTTGTATGTTTTTGCTATTCTTTTAATTGCAAAATATTGATAATGCTTTAATTGTTAACAATATCAGGCTTATTGTAGAAGAGAAGTGAACAGCACACAGTTATTCAACTGTACCAACAATCCGTCAAATGTTGACAATGTTGCCATTTTTTCGCTTTCTAACTGTTGTCGTTCTGCTGTTGAGCCACCAACTGTTTGGAAGTGAAATAAGTGAGCAAGTGAATGAAATACTGTGATTAATGAATCGAAAAGTTGCTATACTCAAAAACTGAACTCAGACAATAGTTTTATCTTTTTATACTGTGAACCAATGCACATGATTACAGTAATACGAGTTAGTAAAAAGTTGTCACTTTTTTGATGACCCTTACTCTTTATATATTGAAGTTTGTTTAATTCAGTCGCTTATGAAAGAGAATACCAGAATGGAAAACTGCTAAATATTTCAACATTGCAGATAGGACTGGTTTATAACAATGAAAGCTAATCGAACAAAGAACTTGCAATCTTTTAACGATCAAGTATGAATTGTCAGACTGGTAGATCTTAATTATAAGCTGGCAACAATCTGCAACATTCTCAATAATGCGCGCGAGCTTAGTTACAATTGGAAGATAAAAGTTGAACAAAAATTTGACTAATAAAACTGAAACGGTATATATTTATCTGAAAATACCAAGTGTAGTAATGAAATTGGTTCGATTTTTTTCCGATGAGTGAAATATAATTAATTTGATTTTACAAGGAATAATAACAATTCTAAAATCTGAACATACTCATTATATGTTTACCACGCTTTACCATTTTAAAAATTTTAAATTTTATTTATAAATTTCTACATATGGACTTAATACAAATCTACGCGAGTATTTCGACATATTATAAAACTGGTTGAGTTTGACATTGACCTTTAACACGTGTATGGTTAAAATCTTATGTTTTGATGTTTTGTTTAGCAATATTGCTTACAGATTTATCAAAGAAGAAATAGCGGAACATGTGAACAGAATTGTGTAGATGATACTAGAACCGGAAGAACGAAAAGAGTGGAAGAAATTAGAGAGTGCAAAAAAAGTTTAAATCGGTATTGTAATCCTCTCCAAATTCTTATTTAAAAAATTTACATTATTACCATATTGTCTTCTTGCAAAAAAATTTACATTATTACCATATTGCCTTCTTGCGAATTTGAAAAATCGATTTCAAACCTGAAGCTTTGAAATTTTGTGTGTTAAAGAAGTTTTAGTAGCAGTATACGGACATATTTTTCCACATTTCACGTTTCATTTTGATTTGCCTTTTCCACGATTATGTGAGTTTAAGCTTCTAAACGAAATACATTTCTGGAGGTAGATCTCAAAGTGCGAGAAATCAATAGACGGATAGATCAATAGATAAATCGGAAGTCAATAGATAGTAAAAAGTTGCCACTTTTTGATGACCCTTACTCTTTATATAACAGAAGTTCGATGCAGGATTTGTCGGAAAAAAAAGGCTGTGAAAATTTTTAAATAATTTCTTTTGTTGCTGTCATTGTTTTTATCGTTATTAAATCTAAAAAAATCATTTATCCCATAATACGTATTAAAATCTAATTAATTGTATTTATATCAATTATTGCAAAAACAGTTTAGTTTTATTTACTTGAAAACAAAAAAAGAGCATAATAATAATAGGAAGAAAAAGAAGAGTAAAAAAAAAAAAATAATAATAGCAATAATAGTAACAATAATAATAAAATAATAATCATAGTAATAATCGTAGTGATAATAATTGTTATAATAATAATAATAATAATAATAATAATAATAATAATAATAATAATAATAATAATGGTAATAACATAGTTTATAAAAAAGGCGCATAGAAGGATTTTTTTTTAATTGAAGTAATTTTCACTGTACTATACAGTATTCTCTACTGTGAAATATTTTTTAAAAAAAAATCTTTGCATATATCTGATCATTTTTAAATATTTAAATGAAATCATGTGTCCGATTACGAATGTATAAAAGGTGATGAAAATTCTGAGTTAATCATTTCAATTAGAACTGTTGCAGTGAGCGGTAAGGATGATGGTTCTCTACTGGGGAAATAAGTTAGAACAGGGCAATCAGTTTTTGATTGTAATTGAAATAATACACCGGTTGTTTGCAATATCATCGAAACATCGTATCTTGCTCGCTTGAATTATTCACTGAGAACATTTTAAAAGAAATTCATTAATAATAACAAATATAGCACTAGAGATTGAAAATTATATCCATTTGAATAGTAACCTAAAAATGAGGATGAATTTTTGTATCAGAAGAGAAATCCACTTGAATCGAATAATATTCTTTGATATTTAAGATCACAAGTGCAAAAAAACCACTTGCGTACAAAAATCGTTTGATCACACTGTCGGGGACTTGGAAATAAATTCGAGATGAGGATTTTATTAAAAAATCATATTTAGTAAAAAATTTGGTGAAAATTTCCCTTCATTTTTTCACGGATAAAGTTTGCATCCCGAAAAAAAGTTATCAGCCCTCTAATTCAATAAAAAATAATTTGCGTTTAAATAATAGTCGAAAAATGAACACAAATCTTTCAGGATGAGCTGGGTAGACGAGACAAACGGCGTTCTAAGGTTGTACCGGCTGAATCGGACAACCAACCGAAATGTGCGTCCGAGAAACCGACACCTCATGCAGCCGATGCTTCTCCTATCCGCATCAGCACCTACCGCACTGCAATCGTGCCCTTGCACTGCGAATGTATTTCCTGGAGGAGAAGCGTCGAAAAGAGCGAAAAAAGGAGGAAAAGGAAAAAGCTGCAAACGCGAAAAATTTAAGAAGGCACGGGCAGAAGCAGATAATTTATTCCATTAAATTGTATTTATGATTCGGTCGGCGGATTAATTGATTTCATGAACGAAAGATTTAACTATGTAGCAAGTGCTCAATAAAATATTGACTTGAAACAGTTTCATAAATTTTAAAAGTCTGATACAAATAGTAATAAAGGCTAAAATGTGGAAGTGTCACACAAAAAGAAAACACTTTTGATATTCGATATTTAATTAAGGTGTCGATATTGTGCAATTAAGAGAATAGCAAAAACATACAAATTTTTTTTTCGATAACTGGATCAGTATGGAAACTTCAGGCAATTCCACTTATTGGTAATACTGATGCATTGATTATAGATATTATTTTTTAACCATGTTATTATGTACATATACATATTCGGTAAACCAAATTATAATATGTAGAGGTAAAATTGTATTAAATCCATTAAATTAAAAAAGTTCCGACAAATGTTCCAATCTCACGTAAGAAATCGTTTATCCGACTTTCATGTTTCATGTAGCTGAGCCTATTTGTAATGCCACATTTTAATAAAGAATACGCATTGGAAGTTGTCTCCGATTCGAATATTGTTAAAATTATCAACTTATTACTTAGTTAACATCTTTTGATGTTTTATTGCTTGTCGGCTCCGTAAACGATTTCCTAATTTGACAAGATTAAGAGTTCTTCGTTCAGTTGACCTCCTTAATCATAAAATTATTTTGCTATAAACTACTGCTTCAGTTTGACTGTACAATCTCTAATCGCCAATCAGATTGTATTTCAGGCAGTCGAAATGGCAAAATTTTGAAAATGATAATTTTTTGATTCCGATCCACGTAGTTACAATGAATTAATTGGATCAGGAAAATGAATAAAATTCGTCACGTTACGATATCCAACAATCACACAAAACTTAAATTGCTGAAACAAATAATAGCCCCTTAAAGGGCTTCCAAAAAATATGTTCAACAATAACTGAAGCTGAGTTGGACATAACTCCATTTCTGAGCTTGATGGAATTCCATCTGAAATCTGGAAACATATATTACGCATTTTCAAATGCATTTTCAGATGCAACAAAAGTACGTATTTTCAAATGTATGAAAAGTCATGATGATGCAGTCATTATCATCTGAGAAAAATCAGATCAAATTATTTTGCTTTTTATAGCTAGTAAAATACTTCCAAGAATACTTTTAAATAGGCTGGTATCATTGCAAAAGTATTTCTATATGACAGTTAATGTGTTTTACAGTTAATAGAAATATATCTATTATTCGTTCTCAGATATCTGGAAGAAATTGTGAAAATATAATATAGGACTTTAGGTGACATTCGTTCACTTTGACATAGCAGAAAAGATTTACGGGAAGTGATTAGGATGTCTCCTAAGTTTCCCAAGTTCATTGCTATTTTGCATAAGGATCAGCGCAATAAATCAGATATGAAAATTTTTTTCTCTAGGTCTTTCTGAATAATCAACGACGTGAAGTATAGTTCATCTATTAGCATCAGAAGCAATAGAGATTTACAAAAGAGTAGCAAACGCATCCAGAACATTCAGCAAATATAAAAAAACACTACAAAGACATTTATAGTGTCTACTCTCATATACAAATCTAAATTGTAGAAATCAACCTCGCCATCATCTGCAACTCATGAACGTTTCCATCAGTGTTACCTCCTCACATCCTAATCCACTACACTTATCACATGAGTAGTGCTGTCGTTACAAACAAGAATCACCACTGTCCCCGATTCGAATACTGTTAAAATTATCAACTTATTACTTAGTTAACATCTTTTGATGTTTTATTGCTTGTCGGCTCCGTAAACGATTTCCTAATTTGACAAGATTAAGAGTTCTTCGTTCAGTTGACCTCCTTAATCATAAAATTATTTTGCTATAAACTACTGCTTCAGTTTAACTGTACAATCTCTATTCGCCAATCAGATTGTATTTCAGGCAGTCGAAATGGCAAAATTTTGAAAATGATAATTTTTTGATTTCGATCCACGTAGTTACAATGAATTAATTGGATCAGGAAAATGAATAAAATTCGTCACGTTACGATATCCAACAATCACACAAAACTTAAATTGCTGGAACAAATAATAGCCCCTTAAAGGGCTTCCAAAAAATATGTTAACAATCATAAATACTCTCCTGCACGGAAATCTTTAGTAAAAGGCGAAAGATTTTCTCGGTCAAATGCAGGAGAGCAAGACAAACAAACCCATCACTGAATCAATGTTATAGCCAATTTCGCAAGGATTTTGCAGTGGTTCAGTGGACGAAAGAGGCGAATAGAGAAAAGTATTCTCAGTTGCGATACGGTTGAATGTGATAGCGGAGTTCCATTCGAGGGTGCATTTAGTTGCATTAACAATTAGTTCTTTTACTCTTGATGTCGTTGCAAGTGATGCATCGAAAGAGAAAAAGAGCATGCTCTTTATACATCTGCTAGAGAATTGCAAAACCTATCAGAAGTTTGCTGCAGCATGAACTATTATTGAATAGCAATGGGATTGCAGTATCGCTTCTCGGCCTATTGGCTAAGATCAAAGTGTAGTATCTGTTCTTATCAGCTTAATCTCTGATATGTGGTCAATCGATCACTTCGAGATTATCCTATTTTTGAGACCATGGTGGGTTTGAAGGGGCTTGCTCCTCACCTACCGCGGGTCGACCCGGTATTGCACCTACCTCCGGGAACGGCCCATTCACCCTTTGGGGTGAAAGTTGAATTACCGAAGATGCTGGAATAATTAATGTATGGTAAACATTCACTATACACAGTAACTCTGTTTCATCCAACATCACATAAAAGACTGCCCAGTGCATCTTTTCAAATGTCAAGATTAAGACAAATAAAATTTGAATTGTTAATTAATCAATAGTATACATATATAAAATGTACCATTATATATGAGTCCTTTAGATCGTTTATAGATGGTAAAAATATGCGCAACTTTGCTTGCTGATTTTTAACCTAACAAGCAAGAGTATAATCAAAATGTTTTTGCTAAGATTCACTAATTGGTCATATTAACATGAAAATTATGTTCAATAAGACAATCTTTACTTTAATGTTACTCGCTTTTCAATTAGAAAAGTTTCTTAATTGAAGCATTTGCCTAAGGATTATTCAAGTAAGACAAGTTGTGCGGATTTAATAAAAGTTTGTTTCGATATGTTATATTGGGTTATATTGGGATTTACCGACAATGCCAAAAAAAAGCAAAACGAAATGATTATCATCCCGTTATAGATCACGATTGGCGCAGTATTTTTCCTTGTACCAGAATGAAACGCTAAGATGCTGTATATTGTGGTAAAATAGAGATTAACATAATATTTAGGATTTCTCAGTCCACATTGAGGCATCGTGAATGAAATCATGCAACTATTAAAGCATAATATTATTGTCTTTGATGGTTGCCCATATAATTATTCATTATATAAATTTATACATCAAACAGATGTATAAATTTATATATACCCTTTGGTACACATTATATATATATATATATATATATATATATATATATATAATTACTTCTGCTATTTAATACATGATCTGTTTATATCAAAATCATCGCCAATTCAGATAATAGTTGCAGTTGTGAAAAAAACAAAAAAAACAAAAAAAACGTGATGAAAGAAAGTGGCGACAGTAAACGAACTGGTGAAATATGCATTTTATGTCTAAATCTCAATTAAATAACATTTGAAGAATTATTAAAAAAATAACACAGGTTTTATTTAAAATGCTTCAAAATATCTACCGAAGTATCAATCAGCGGTTTCTTCGCTTAAATGACTTTTTATATCTACCAAATTTGGTAGACTTGCGCCTTGCACTTGAACACCCATAATTTATAATATTGTTCGAAAAACCATGCATATAAGATGAAAAATTAATAAATTATTATAAATTTTTTGTTTTATTTGCGTATTTTGCTCCGTTCGCGCATTTAAGAAATGATATAGCATTAAATGCAAATGTCTTGCTATTAGCTTATATTCGGAAATATTTTGAGGGTGAATTAGTTCTCATCGAGGTCAGGAGAATTTAAAGATTTGTGAAATTATCTAAAAACACAAGTAGGAATATTTTGTTACAGATGTGTGCCTTACTTCCTTTTTAAATTGCAACTATTTTTCTTCCAAATTTTTTAATGCTTAAAATATTAAAATATAAAAAAAAATATGTATATATATATATATATATATATTTTTTAAGATTTGGTCGTGTGATTATTGCTCAAATTATTAATGTTCATGTTAATATGACCAATTAGTGAATCTTAGCAAAAACATTTTGATTATACTCTTGCTTGTTAGGTTAAAAATCAGCAAGCAAAGTTGCGCATATTTTTACCATCTATAAACGATCTAAAGGACTCATATATAATGGTACATTTTATATATGTATACTATTGATTAATTAACAATTCAAATTTTATTTGTCTTAATCTTGACATTTGAAAAGATGCACTGGGCAGTCTTTTATGTGATGTTGGATGAAACAGAGTTACTGTGTATAGTGAATGTTTACCATACATTAATTATTCCAGCATCTTCGGTAATTCAACTTTCACCCCAAAGGGTGAATGGGCCGTTCCCGGAGGTAGGTGCAATACCGGGTCGACCCGCGGTAGGTGAGGAGCAAGCCCCTTCAAACCCACCATGGTCTCAAAAATAGGATAATCTCGAAGTGATCGATTGACCACATATCAGAGATTAAGCTGATAAGAACAGATACTACACTTTGATCTTAGCCAATAGGCCGAGAAGCGATACTGCAATCCCATTGCTATTCAATAATAGTTCATGCTGCAGCAAACTTCTGATAGGTTTTGCAATTCTCTAGCAGATGTATAAAGAGCATGCTCTTTTTCTCTTTCGATGCATCACTTGCAACGACATCAAGAGTAAAAGAACTAATTGTTAATGCAACTAAATGCACCCTCGAATGGAACTCCGCTATCACATTCAACCGTATCGCAACTGAGAATACTTTTCTCTATTCGCCTCTTTCGTCCACTGAACCACTGCAAAATCCTTGCGAAATTGGCTATAACATTGATTCAGTGATGGGTTTGTTTGTCTTGCTCTCCTGCATTTGACCGAGAAAATCTTTCGCCTTTTACTAAAGATTTCCGTGCAGGAGAGTATTTATGATTGTTAACATATTTTTTGGAAGCCCTTTAAGGGGCTATTATTTGTTCCAGCAATTTAAGTTTTGTGTGATTGTTGGATATCGTAACGTGACGAATTTTATTCATTTTCCTGATCCAATTAATTCATTGTAACTACGTGGATCGAAATCAAAAAATTATCATTTTCAAAATTTTGCCATTTCGACTGCCTGAAATACAATCTGATTGGCGAATAGAGATTGTACAGTTAAACTGAAGCAGTAGTTTATAGCAAAATAATTTTATGATTAAGGAGGTCAACTGAACGAAGAACTCTTAATCTTGTCAAATTAGGAAATCGTTTACGGAGCCGACAAGCAATAAAACATCAAAAGATGTTAACTAAGTAATAAGTTGATAATTTTAACAGTATTCGAATCGGGGACAGTGGTGATTCTTGTTTGTAACGACAGCACTACTCATGTGATAAGTGTAGTGGATTAGGATGTGAGGAGGTAACACTGATGGAAACGTTCATGAGTTGCAGATGATGGCGAGGTTGATTTCTACAATTTAGATTTGTATATGAGAGTAGACACTATAAATGTCTTTGTAGTGTTTTTTTATATTTGCTGAATGTTCTGGATGCGTTTGCTACTCTTTTGTAAATCTCTATTGCTTCTGATGCTAATAGATGAACTATACTTCACGTCGTTGATTATTCAGAAAGACCTAGAGAAAAAAATTTTCATATCTGATTTATTGCGCTGATCCTTATGCAAAATAGCAATGAACTTGGGAAACTTAGGAGACATCCTAATCACTTCCCGTAAATCTTTTCTGCTATGTCAAAGTGAACGAATGTCACCTAAAGTCCTATATTATATTTTCACAATTTCTTCCAGATATCTGAGAACGAATAATAGATATATTTCTATTAACTGTAAAACACATTAACTGTCATATAGAAATACTTTTGCAATGATACCAGCCTATTTAAAAGTATTCTTGGAAGTATTTTACTAGCTATAAAAAGCAAAATAATTTGATCTGATTTTTCTCAGATGATAATGACTGCATCATCATGACTTTTCATACATTTGAAAATACGTACTTTTGTTGCATCTGAAAATGCATTTGAAAATGCGTAATATATGTTTCCAGATTTCAGATGGAATTCCATCAAGCTCAGAAATGGAGTTATGTCCAACTCAGCTTCAGTTATTGTTGAACATATTTTTTGGAAGCCCTTTAAGGGGCTATTATTTGTTTCAGCAATTTAAGTTTTGTGTGATTGTTGGATATCGTAACGTGACGAATTTTATTCATTTTCCTGATCCAATTAATTCATTGTAACTACGTGGATCGGAATCAAAAAATTATCATTTTCAAAATTTTGCCATTTCGACTGCCTGAAATACAATCTGATTGGCGATTAGAGATTGTACAGTCAAACTGAAGCAGTAGTTTATAGCAAAATAATTTTATGATTAAGGAGGTCAACTGAACGAAGAACTCTTAATCTTGTCAAATTAGGAAATCGTTTACGGAGCCGACAAGCAATAAAACATCAAAAGATGTTAACTAAGTAATAAGTTGATAATTTTAACAATATTCGAATCGGAGACAACTTCCAATGCGTATTCTTTATTAAAATGTGGCATTACAAATAGGCTCAGCTACATGAAACATGAAAGTCGGATAAACGATTTCTTACGTGAGATTGGAACATTTGTCGGAACTTTTTTAATTTAATGGATTTAATACAATTTTACCTCTACATATTATAATTTGGTTTACCGAATATGTATATGTACATAATAACATGGTTAAAAAATAATATCTATAATCAATGCATCAGTATTACCAATAAGTGGAATTGCCTGAAGTTTCCATACTGATCCAGTTATCGAAAAAAAATTTGTATGTTTTTGCTATTCTCTTAATTGCACAATATCGACACCTTAATTAAATATCGAATATCAAAAGTGTTTTCTTTTTGTGTGACACTTCCACATTTTAGCCTTTATTACTATTTGTATCAGACTTTTAAAATTTATGAAACTGTTTCAAGTCAATATTTTATTGAGCACTTGCTACATAGTTAAATCTTTCGTTCATGAAATCAATTAATCCGCCGACCGAATCATAAATACAATTTAATGGAATAAATTATCTGCTTCTGCCCGTGCCTTCTTAAATTTTTCGCGTTTGCAGCTTTTTCCTTTTCCTCCTTTTTTCGCTCTTTTCGACGCTTCTCCTCCAGGAAATACATTCGCAGTGCAAGGGCACGATTGCAGTGCGGTAGGTGCTGATGCGGATAGGAGAAGCATCGGCTGCATGAGGTGTCGGTTTCTCGGACGCACATTTCGGTTGGTTGTCCGATTCAGCCGGTACAACCTTAGAACGCCGTTTGTCTCGTCTACCCAGCTCATCCTGAAAGATTTGTGTTCATTTTTCGACTATTATTTAAACGCAAATTATTTTTTATTGAATTAGAGGGCTGATAACTTTTTTTCGGGATGCAAACTTTATCCGTGAAAAAATGAAGGGAAATTTTCACCAAATTTTTTACTAAATATGATTTTTTAATAAAATCCTCATCTCGAATTTATTTCCAAGTCCCCGACAGTGTGATCAAACGATTTTTGTACGCAAGTGGTTTTTTTGCACTTGTGATCTTAAATATCAAAGAATATTATTCGATTCAAGTGGATTTCTCTTCTGATACAAAAATTCATCCTCATTTTTAGGTTACTATTCAAATGGATATAATTTTCAATCTCTAGTGCTATATTTGTTATTATTAATGAATTTCTTTTAAAATGTTCTCAGTGAATAATTCAAGCGAGCAAGATACGATGTTTCGATGATATTGCAAACAACCGGTGTATTATTTCAATTACAATCAAAAACTGATTGCCCTGTTCTAACTTATTTCCCCAGTAGAGAACCATCATCCTTACCGCTCACTGCAACAGTTCTAATTGAAATGATTAACTCAGAATTTTCATCACCTTTTATACATTCGTAATCGGACACATGATTTCATTTAAATATTTAAAAATGATCAGATATATGCAAAGATTTTTTTTTAAAAAATATTTCACAGTAGAGAATACTGTATAGTACAGTGAAAATTACTTCAATTAAAAAAAAATCCTTCTATGCGCCTTTTTTATAAACTATGTTATTACCATTATTATTATTATTATTATTATTATTATTATTATTATTATTATTATTATTATAACAATTATTATCACTACGATTATTACTATGATTATTATTTTATTATTATTGTTACTATTATTGCTATTATTATTTTTTTTTTTTTACTCTTCTTTTTCTTCCTATTATTATTATGCTCTTTTTTTGTTTTCAAGTAAATAAAACTAAACTGTTTTTGCAATAATTGATATAAATACAATTAATTAGATTTTAATACGTATTATGGGATAAATGATTTTTTTAGATTTAATAACGATAAAAACAATGACAGCAACAAAAGAAATTATTTAAAAATTTTCACAGCCTTTTTTTTCCGACAAATCCTGCATCGAACTTCTGTTATATAAAGAGTAAGGGTCATCAAAAAGTGGCAACTTTTTACTATCTATTGACTTCCGATTTATCTATTGATCTATCCGTCTATTGATTTCTCGCACTTTGAGATCTACCTCCAGAAATGTATTTCGTTTAGAAGCTTAAACTCACATAATCGTGGAAAAGGCAAATCAAAATGAAACGTGAAATGTGGAAAAATATGTCCGTATACTGCTACTAAAACTTCTTTAACACACAAAATTTCAAAGCTTCAGGTTTGAAATCGATTTTTCAAATTCGCAAGAAGGCAATATGGTAATAATGTAAATTTTTTTGCAAGAAGACAATATGGTAATAATGTAAATTTTTTAAATAAGAATTTGGAGAGGATTACAATACCGATTTAAACTTTTTTTGCACTCTCTAATTTCTTCCACTCTTTTCGTTCTTCCGGTTCTAGTATCATCTACACAATTCTGTTCACATGTTCCGCTATTTCTTCTTTGATAAATCTGTAAGCAATATTGCTAAACAAAAACATCAAAACATAAGATTTTAACCATACACGTGTTAAAGGTCAATGTCAAACTCAACCAGTTTTATAATATGTCGAAATACTCGCGTAGATTTGTATTAAGTCCATATGTAGAAATTTATAAATAAAATTTAAAATTTTTAAAATGGTAAAGCGTGGTAAACATATAATGAGTATGTTCAGATTTTAGAATTGTTATTATTCCTTGTAAAATCAAATTAATTATATTTCACTCATCGGAAAAAAATCGAACCAATTTCATTACTACACTTGGTATTTTCAGATAAATATATACCGTTTCAGTTTTATTAGTCAAATTTTTGTTCAACTTTTATCTTCCAATTGTAACTAAGCTCGCGCGCATTATTGAGAATGTTGCAGATTGTTGCCAGCTTATAATTAAGATCTACCAGTCTGACAATTCATACTTGATCGTTAAAAGATTGCAAGTTCTTTGTTCGATTAGCTTTCATTGTTATAAACCAGTCCTATCTGCAATGTTGAAATATTTAGCAGTTTTCCATTCTGGTATTCTCTTTCATAAGCGACTGAATTAAACAAACTTCAATATATAAAGAGTAAGGGTCATCAAAAAAGTGACAACTTTTTACTAACTCGTATTACTGTAATCATGTGCATTGGTTCACAGTATAAAAAGATAAAACTATTGTCTGAGTTCAGTTTTTGAGTATAGCAACTTTTCGATTCATTAATCACAGTATTTCATTCACTTGCTCACTTATTTCACTTCCAAACAGTTGGTGGCTCAACAGCAGAACGACAACAGTTAGAAAGCGAAAAAATGGCAACATTGTCAACATTTGACGGATTGTTGGTACAGTTGAATAACTGTGTGCTGTTCACTTCTCTTCTACAATAAGCCTGATATTGTTAACAATTAAAGCATTATCAATATTTTGCAATTAAAAGAATAGCAAAAACATACAAATTTTTTTTCGACAACTGGATCAGTATGGAAACTTCAGGCAATTCCACTTATTGGTAATACTGATGCATTGATTATAGATATTATTTTTTAACCATGTTATTATGTACATATACATATTCGGTAAACCAAATTATAATATGTAGAGGTAAAATTGTATTAAATCCATTAAATTAAAAAAGTTCCGACAAATGTTCCAATCTCACGTAAGAAATCGTTTATCCGACTTTCATGTTTCATGTAGCTGAGCCTATTTGTAATGCCACATTTTAATAAAGAATACGCATTGGAAGTTGTCTCCGATTCGAATATTGTTAAAATTATCAACTTATTACTTAGTTAACATCTTTTGATGTTTTATTGCTTGTCGGCTCCGTAAACGATTTCCTAATTTGACAAGATTAAGAGTTCTTCGTTCAGTTGACCTCCTTAATCATAAAATTATTTTGCTATAAACTACTGCTTCAGTTTGACTGTACAATCTCTAATCGCCAATCAGATTGTATTTCAGGCAGTCGAAATGGCAAAATTTTGAAAATGATAATTTTTTGATTCCGATCCACGTAGTTACAATGAATTAATTGGATCAGGAAAATGAATAAAATTCGTCACGTTACGATATCCAACAATCACACAAAACTTAAATTGCTGAAACAAATAATAGCCCCTTAAAGGGCTTCCAAAAAATATGTTCAACAATAACTGAAGCTGAGTTGGACATAACTCCATTTCTGAGCTTGATGGAATTCCATCTGAAATCTGGAAACATATATTACGCATTTTCAAATGCATTTTCAGATGCAACAAAAGTACGTATTTTCAAATGTATGAAAAGTCATGATGATGCAGTCATTATCATCTGAGAAAAATCAGATCAAATTATTTTGCTTTTTATAGCTAGTAAAATACTTCCAAGAATACTTTTAAATAGGCTGGTATCATTGCAAAAGTATTTCTATATGACAGTTAATGTGTTTTACAGTTAATAGAAATATATCTATTATTCGTTCTCAGATATCTGGAAGAAATTGTGAAAATATAATATAGGACTTTAGGTGACATTCGTTCACTTTGACATAGCAGAAAAGATTTACGGGAAGTGATTAGGATGTCTCCTAAGTTTCCCAAGTTCATTGCTATTTTGCATAAGGATCAGCGCAATAAATCAGATATGAAAATTTTTTTCTCTAGGTCTTTCTGAATAATCAACGACGTGAAGTATAGTTCATCTATTAGCATCAGAAGCAATAGAGATTTACAAAAGAGTAGCAAACGCATCCAGAACATTCAGCAAATATAAAAAAACACTACAAAGACATTTATAGTGTCTACTCTCATATACAAATCTAAATTGTAGAAATCAACCTCGCCATCATCTGCAACTCATGAACGTTTCCATCAGTGTTACCTCCTCACATCCTAATCCACTACACTTATCACATGAGTAGTGCTGTCGTTACAAACAAGAATCACCACTGTCCCCGATTCGAATACTGTTAAAATTATCAACTTATTACTTAGTTAACATCTTTTGATGTTTTATTGCTTGTCGGCTCCGTAAACGATTTCCTAATTTGACAAGATTAAGAGTTCTTCGTTCAGTTGACCTCCTTAATCATAAAATTATTTTGCTATAAACTACTGCTTCAGTTTAACTGTACAATCTCTATTCGCCAATCAGATTGTATTTCAGGCAGTCGAAATGGCAAAATTTTGAAAATGATAATTTTTTGATTTCGATCCACGTAGTTACAATGAATTAATTGGATCAGGAAAATGAATAAAATTCGTCACGTTACGATATCCAACAATCACACAAAACTTAAATTGCTGGAACAAATAATAGCCCCTTAAAGGGCTTCCAAAAAATATGTTAACAATCATAAATACTCTCCTGCACGGAAATCTTTAGTAAAAGGCGAAAGATTTTCTCGGTCAAATGCAGGAGAGCAAGACAAACAAACCCATCACTGAATCAATGTTATAGCCAATTTCGCAAGGATTTTGCAGTGGTTCAGTGGACGAAAGAGGCGAATAGAGAAAAGTATTCTCAGTTGCGATACGGTTGAATGTGATAGCGGAGTTCCATTCGAGGGTGCATTTAGTTGCATTAACAATTAGTTCTTTTACTCTTGATGTCGTTGCAAGTGATGCATCGAAAAAGAAAAAGAGCATGCTCTTTATACATCTGCTAGAGAATTGCAAAACCTATCAGAAGTTTGCTGCAGCATGAACTATTATTGAATAGCAATGGGATTGCAGTATCGCTTCTCGGCCTATTGGCTAAGATCAAAGTGTAGTATCTGTTCTTATCAGCTTAATCTCTGATATGTGGTCAATCGATCACTTCGAGATTATCCTATTTTTGAGACCATGGTGGGTTTGAAGGGGCTTGCTCCTCACCTACCGCGGGTCGACCCGGTATTGCACCTACCTCCGGGAACGGCCCATTCACCCTTTGGGGTGAAAGTTGAATTACCGAAGATGCTGGAATAATTAATGTATGGTAAACATTCACTATACACAGTAACTCTGTTTCATCCAACATCACATAAAAGACTGCCCAGTGCATCTTTTCAAATGTCAAGATTAAGACAAATAAAATTTGAATTGTTAATTAATCAATAGTATACATATATAAAATGTACCATTATATATGAGTCCTTTAGATCGTTTATAGATGGTAAAAATATGCGCAACTTTGCTTGCTGATTTTTAACCTAACAAGCAAGAGTATAATCAAAATGTTTTTGCTAAGATTCACTAATTGGTCATATTAACATGAACATTAATAATTTGAGCAATAATCACACGACCAAATCTTAAAAAATATATATATATATATATATATACATATTTTTTTTTATATTTTAATATTTTAAGCATTAAAAAATTTGGAAGAAAAATAGTTGCAATTTAAAAAGGAAGTAAGGCACACATCTGTAACAAAATATTCCTACTTGTGTTTTTAGATAATTTCACAAATCTTTAAATTCTCCTGACCTCGATGAGAACTAATTCACCCTCAAAATATTTCCGAATATAAGCTAATAGCAAGACATTTGCATTTAATGCTATATCATTTCTTAAATGCGCGAACGGAGCAAAATACGCAAATAAAACAAAAAATTTATAATAATTTATTAATTTTTCATCTTATATGCATGGTTTTTCGAACAATATTATAAATTATGGGTGTTCAAGTGCAAGGCGCAAGTCTACCAAATTTGGTAGATATAAAAAGTCATTTAAGCGAAGAAACCGCTGATTGATACTTCGGTAGATATTTTGAAGCATTTTAAATAAAACCTGTGTTATTTTTTTAATAATTCTTCAAATGTTATTTAATTGAGATTTAGACATAAAATGCATATTTCACCAGTTCGTTTACTGTCGCCACTTTCTTTCATCACGTTTTTTTTGTTTTTTTTGTTTTTTTCACAACTGCAACTATTATCTGAATTGGCGATGATTTTGATATAAACAGATCATGTATTAAATAGCAGAAGTAATTATATATATATATATATATATATATATATATATATATATATATAATGTGTACCAAAGGGTATATATAAATTTATACATCTGTTTGATGTATAAATTTATATAATGAATAATTATATGGGCAACCATCAAAGACAATAATATTATGCTTTAATAGTTGCATGATTTCATTCACGATGCCTCAATGTGGACTGAGAAATCCTAAATATTATGTTAATCTCTATTTTACCACAATATACAGCATCTTAGCGTTTCATTCTGGTACAAGGAAAAATACTGCGCCAATCGTGATCTATAACGGGATGATAATCATTTCGTTTTGCTTTTTTTTGGCATTGTCGGTAAATCCCAATATAACCCAATATAACATATCGAAACAAACTTTTATTAAATCCGCACAACTTGTCTTACTTGAATAATCCTTAGGCAAATGCTTCAATTAAGAAACTTTTCTAATTGAAAAGCGAGTAACATTAAAGTAAAGATTGTCTTATTGAACATAATTTTCATGTTAATATGACCAATTAGTGAATCTTAGCAAAAACATTTTGATTATACTCTTGCTTGTTAGGTTAAAAATCAGCAAGCAAAGTTGCGCATATTTTTACCATCTATAAACGATCTAAAGGACTCATATATAATGGTACATTTTATATATGTATACTATTGATTAATTAACAATTCAAATTTTATTTGTCTTAATCTTGACATTTGAAAAGATGCACTGGGCAGTCTTTTATGTGATGTTGGATGAAACAGAGTTACTGTGTATAGTGAATGTTTACCATACATTAATTATTCCAGCATCTTCGGTAATTCAACTTTCACCCCAAAGGGTGAATGGGCCGTTCCCGGAGGTAGGTGCAATACCGGGTCGACCCGCGGTAGGTGAGGAGCAAGCCCCTTCAAACCCACCATGGTCTCAAAAATAGGATAATCTCGAAGTGATCGATTGACCACATATCAGAGATTAAGCTGATAAGAACAGATACTACACTTTGATCTTAGCCAATAGGCCGAGAAGCGATACTGCAATCCCATTGCTATTCAATAATAGTTCATGCTGCAGCAAACTTCTGATAGGTTTTGCAATTCTCTAGCAGATGTATAAAGAGCATGCTCTTTTTCTCTTTCGATGCATCACTTGCAACGACATCAAGAGTAAAAGAACTAATTGTTAATGCAACTAAATGCACCCTCGAATGGAACTCCGCTATCACATTCAACCGTATCGCAACTGAGAATACTTTTCTCTATTCGCCTCTTTCGTCCACTGAACCACTGCAAAATCCTTGCGAAATTGGCTATAACATTGATTCAGTGATGGGTTTGTTTGTCTTGCTCTCCTGCATTTGACCGAGAAAATCTTTCGCCTTTTACTAAAGATTTCCGTGCAGGAGAGTATTTATGATTGTTAACATATTTTTTGGAAGCCCTTTAAGGGGCTATTATTTGTTCCAGCAATTTAAGTTTTGTGTGATTGTTGGATATCGTAACGTGACGAATTTTATTCATTTTCCTGATCCAATTAATTCATTGTAACTACGTGGATCGAAATCAAAAAATTATCATTTTCAAAATTTTGCCATTTCGACTGCCTGAAATACAATCTGATTGGCGAATAGAGATTGTACAGTTAAACTGAAGCAGTAGTTTATAGCAAAATAATTTTATGATTAAGGAGGTCAACTGAACGAAGAACTCTTAATCTTGTCAAATTAGGAAATCGTTTACGGAGCCGACAAGCAATAAAACATCAAAAGATGTTAACTAAGTAATAAGTTGATAATTTTAACAGTATTCGAATCGGGGACAGTGGTGATTCTTGTTTGTAACGACAGCACTACTCATGTGATAAGTGTAGTGGATTAGGATGTGAGGAGGTAACACTGATGGAAACGTTCATGAGTTGCAGATGATGGCGAGGTTGATTTCTACAATTTAGATTTGTATATGAGAGTAGACACTATAAATGTCTTTGTAGTGTTTTTTTATATTTGCTGAATGTTCTGGATGCGTTTGCTACTCTTTTGTAAATCTCTATTGCTTCTGATGCTAATAGATGAACTATACTTCACGTCGTTGATTATTCAGAAAGACCTAGAGAAAAAAATTTTCATATCTGATTTATTGCGCTGATCCTTATGCAAAATAGCAATGAACTTGGGAAACTTAGGAGACATCCTAATCACTTCCCGTAAATCTTTTCTGCTATGTCAAAGTGAACGAATGTCACCTAAAGTCCTATATTATATTTTCACAATTTCTTCCAGATATCTGAGAACGAATAATAGATATATTTCTATTAACTGTAAAACACATTAATGTTTTTTTCAGATGGAATTCCATCAAGCTCAGAAATGGAGTTATGTCCAATTCAGCTTCAGTTATTGTTGAGTGATGTGTTGAGTAGCTGAGTCTTTAAATGAACGTTGAGCAATCGGTTGAGAATGGAAGATTTATCTGTGAGAAAGAAATGGATCTGATCTAAGAAGAGGACTATGGACCTGATATGTTGGTCCATAAAGCTTCTTTCAAAGCCTTGCAGTGTTCTCTATGCTTGTTGACATTTGCGCATGATTAATGGATTAGTCTTCACTTGTTCCTCATATCCTAAAGCTTCTGTTGAAGCATATGCATGCAAGACGACGAGGATGGATTAGCGAGATGTGTTTAATAAGCAATTTTCTTCTTGAGTAATAGTTCCTGGATGAGCAAATTATTTTCATCAAACCAATTTTTGGATTTCTTTTCTGGAAATCCTAAATATTTGCTGGATGCTATTTTGATGAGTTGCTGATTTATGAAGAAACCTATACGATAGTTTGCAAGTCAGTTTGAAGGTTAGCTTGGAAGTTGTTTCTTACTGTAGCAACTTTGAGATTGTTCATTTTGAGCTTCTTTTTGTTTAGAATATCGTCCCTTTTGACTTCAAATTGGAGGTGCATCGCAAAAATAATTGTTTATTGTCATTTTACACTTTTCATTTCGGGTAGAACGAACATTGCGAGTGCATCTTTGTCTTTACCAAGATATAATCGATGAGGTATAACTATTTGGATCGAAGATGAATCTATTCAGGACCTTGGATGTATTTTTTAGGCATTCTGTTGAAAGAGATGTTTGTGATCATGACTGCAGCTCTCGTTCTATGGAGAAGAGCAACTCAAGTGTATTCCTCCTAGAACTCCAATAGGAGTTGATCACTGTCACTGCAGCTTCCAACACCATATTTATCTGGTACTTCTCAGAGTTCTTTTCTACTCTGGCATTGTGGTTATTAAGAGTTGTAATATAGAAACTTTCGATTAAGACGAAAGAAGCTGGTGTAGAACTTGGTTTTTTTCTCCAGGATCAGCTTGAAAAGTTTATGTAATACCAAAAAAGAAACATCTTGTGGAAGGCATGGAGATAATGCGATCAGAACAACCTGTCGAAAGTTAACAAGTTTGGAAGTAATTGAATTCTTATTTATAAAGTTAACTTTTGCTTTCGGGAACGTTTAGTTTTCGATATACCTTGCCGGAAGAGGGTGTAGCCGGAACCTTTTTCTTTGAGAATATACAAATTTCACTGAGAGCAGTAATGTCAATGTTGAGTCGTGACAATTCGTGGGCCATCAAAGCAGAATTATGCTCGAACATTATTAACAGTATCAATCATTGTTTTATATTAGTCAATTCGAACCTTGATTTTCTACTTTAGTCCGAGCAAGTAGATGTCTGCTAACTGCGGTTAGCCAGCAAAGAGAATGTAAATAAACTTTGTTAGGCCACTTTTTTAGGCCTTTTTCCTGTGGAATAAGTATTACTTACCTCCACACCCTTCTTGGTGAAAAATGAACCCTCATGCTTTTTGATTTTTGGTTAACTTACTTTTACATGACACTTGAAAACCATGAAATATTTCAAAAAATTGAATAACAAGTTCTATGTCTTCAATTGCATTAACAAATTGTGACCTTTCCTCAATTCCTTTTTTTTTTTTTGCAAGTCAATTGAACTATCTGCCAAGTTAGCATACAAATTCAATAACATTCATTCAGTATTTAACACCCAAACAGAACCTTTAAAGCATCAATAATAATACACACACGTTCACGTGCCGAGACAAGCGTTGCATATTAACCAGGCAGTGTAATATACTGATGCTTAGGGCGTCGCATACAAATTTTGTGTGCCCACACAACGAGAAGGATTGTGTAGTGATGAGGTGGTGGGATAGGGATTGATCTTAGGTAAATGTTGAGTAATTTCAGTGTGAATGGGTAGCTTTGAATATGCAAGGAAAGGATTGTTATAATCACTTTTGGGGATTGAAGAAACTCTCACTGATATTCACCAGATAATTTGGTGCATCTCAGCGAAGTCGTCTCCATTAGATATTATCTATCGGGTAGCGTTTCATAAATAAGTTTATGATAGATACCTTTACAGCATTAGATTTATTGTAAGATATCAGAATTAAATGTCGTATTCTTAGTGGCAAAGTTGAATTTTCATTGGATCATACTGTACTGGCACAGGGCCAGAAAAGATCAATGTTGGTCGAGTCATATTTAAAGTAGTTTGGTTGAACGCAGACGCGATTGCAAATGCTTCTGTTTTCCGTGTATTAGGTTTAGCGCAGTAATACGTAAATTAATATTGAAATATAAGCATACGGCAGTTGAAGTAAAAAGAAGTATAGTTTTCTGCTAATGAGTTGTCATGAACGAAAATAAAGTACGGATGTATTGTGAGAGGTTTTTTTTTTTGTTCCACTTATGTTTGGGTTTTGAAAGAGTATATTGGTAGAATATTATCAACTATACTTGCAGTAAAAGCTCTTTGCTAGCAAAAAAAAAAAAAAAAATTTCAGATGGCAGCAGTAACCCAAAATGGTACTATCGATGGTAGTGATTATAAGAGGCCAGCTTACAATGAAATGACTAGCAAAGATTACTATTTCGACTCATATGCCCACTTTGGAATACACGAAGTTTGTGGTTCAACTGTTTTACAGTTGGAAAAAGTTTATGAATTACCAATAAAGTTTCTTTATAGGTCATTATTGCAAGATTTAAATTTGTTACATTCTCGATATTATGGTTTTTCATGAAATGCTTGGCTGGAATGGTGCGATATAAAGAATATTATCAAAGAGCTTAGATAATAATGAATGTTGAATACATTTTTAGTGATAAATTTTTTTAATATATAGGAGATGCTGAAAGATGAAGTAAGGACGATTACGTATCGGAATGCTATTTATCACAATAAGCACTTGTTTAAAGACAAGGTGGTCATGGATGTTGGCTCAGGGACGGGTATCTTGTCTATGTTTGCAGCTAAGGCTGGTGCCAGGAGAGTTATTGCAGTAAGCTTCTTCAATTATTAAAACATTTTTCTATCTTCCTGGAAGTTGTAAATATTTGAAGTGAGAATGATTCGAACAAAATAGTTTTTCGAAGGGAATATTAGGATTAGTGACAGTTTCTCAATTTCGTTTTCCTGTTTAAAACTAAGAAATATCTTGGTTTTTCTCTTTGAACACATTAGACTGTATAAATCACGAAACTTCCTTCTTTTTACTATTAGTAAGCTTAAGAGTTAGGAGTTATAAGGTTTGGAGAAAGTTATTGCTAAGTTCATCAGATTAAATAGTCAGATTTGCTGTTATATATTTTGTAGATTGAATTCTCGAATATGGCTACACAATCAAAACAGATTGTGAAAGATAATGATTTGGAAAATATTATTGAAGTTATTCACGGGAAAGTTGAAGATGTGAAAGAATTGCCTGATGGCATTGAAAAGGTTTTGTTTTTTTGAATTATAAAATATGTGTTTTTTTTTTTTTTCGCTTCTCCAAAATTCTTTTCCATGTATTTCTATGTTGGATCTTCAAAATAGCGTTCACATTGCAAATTCAAGTGAAAAGTGCTGAAAGAGTACTATGAATGAAGGATGCGCCTACAAATTTTCTGCAACATCTTTATTCATTATGACAGGTTGATGTTATTATTTCCGAATGGATGGGTTACTGCTTATTCTACGAATCGATGCTGAATACAGTGATTTATGCTCGTGATAAATGGTTGAAATCGGATGGTGCCCTTTTTCCAGATAAAGCGAAGCTCTTCTTGTGTGCTATTGAAGATCGGCAATATAAAGAGGATAAAATCAATTGGTATATAAATATTTAGTAAATTACTGCGTTTAATAAGTGGGTCATATTAATCAAGTTTGACTTTTATTATTGTTACGTAAGTGAAAATTATATGGGTCGTTCTATTGTAGGTGGGATAATGTTTATGGTTTTAATATGTCGAGTATTCGTCGTGTAGCCATCACAGAACCATTAGTAGATGTTGTTGATCACGCTCAAGTTGTTACCAACAACTGCTTGATTTGTGTAAGTTCTCTGTCCGTTTACTTATATTTATTGTAAATTCAACTACTTGAAAAAGTTTTAGTTGATATGGGTTAACAATATCATTTGGTTTTTCTCAAAGTAGTATACAGTAAGGTTTTTGTCTTTGTCTTTTTTTTTTTTTTTACATACAATAAGAGTTTTTTTAGTAACTTGCAACAAAAATTGCGGGGAATTTTTCATTTCCAATATTGTGAGCACAAACATTCGGTGGTGTTGTAATGAATAAGGTTGTTTCTATTGATTATTGTGCAGCAAAGATTGTTTAGTAACATATCGCTATCCATAAAGAAGTATATGAAAAAAATTAATTACCTTAAGTCTTCAGAAATAACATGGCAGTCGTGATTGAACTGCAAATATGTTTTGTTATATTTTGTTATGTTAACGATTTCTTGATTTTTTAGAGATTAATGCATAAGTATTTAATAAATAAGCTTAAAGTTTTTAGGATGTCGATTTGTATACCGTTAAAGTGGAAGACCTAACATGGACAAATAATTTCTCCCTACGAATAACAAGAAATGATTATGTCCAAGCGCTGGTCACATTCTTCACAGTTGAATTTTCTAAATGCCATAAGCGGACCGGTTTTTCAACCGGGCCCGACTGTCAGTACACTCATTGGAAACAAACAGTATTTTATTTACAGGTCGATTAATACTTGAAATATGAACAATTTTTCACCTTTTTTCGTTCAATTAACTTTAACTTCTCACTTTATTTCCTTTTTTTAGTATATGCCCACAAACACTAATACTGAGAAGCTCTAATTAACTTTCGATCAGTAGTGCTAAAGTATGCTTATTTGCTATGATTTTCAGGATGCACTAACCTGTAAGAAGAACGAAGAGATTACAGGAACGTTTTCAATAGCACCAAATGCTCGAAATGAGAGAGATTTAGATTTCAAAATCTCTGTTAAATTTCATGGTGATGTATGCGATGTGGAAGAGGAAAATACCTACACCATGCATTGATGCTGTTGCTTTAAAATTTTCCATTTTTACAGTTGATGTTCTGAACTTTTTCATAAGTTTTGATTTTGTTGAAATATTGAAAGGAATGTCTCGTGCAGGCTTTGCGAGTTTTGTTCCTTTTTTTCTGTTCTCAAGATCCGGATTTCCGGTGCTGCTTTTCAAAATTTTCTCAAGAGACTTCTAATAGTGCAGGCAGTTTCTGAAATTTTAGCAGCTCGTTTTTCTTAGTGTGACATTATAAATGACTCATTCCTGAAGAACTTATACCATTTAATTAAATGCCCCAAATTCTGCAGATTTGTTTTCGTTTTCATTTTTCTCAATCTGAGTTGTTTGTTTTTCAATTTTCATTATAAATTACATCACTTTGTGTGTTTTATGAAAATGAAAAATGTTGGCCTATATTTTTGATTGAATTTTCCAAATCTTTTGTCGGTTTCCAGTAGCTGTCGGCTATTCGCTTATTTCACATAATGATCGATGATCAAGCTTTAAGTTTTCTTTCTGTTGCAGTTGAATAAAAAACTTAAAGGGTAAGAAAAAGTTGTGGGAAATAATGGAATTAATGAATTTTATAAATATCAAGTATTATTGCTGAATACATCAGTAGGTCCAGGGTTAATCATGTACTGCTGCTGTTAACATAGTTTCGACATATAAAAAAGAAAGAAAAAGGAAGCTTAGTTGGAAGGCGCTCTTATCTGGTGTTGACAAGTGGGTTGCTAGGCAAAAATTTTCTTTTACAATGATGGCGCAGTTGCTTTTTCATAGCATTTGTCCTTTTTTAATTGCATCATATGGTTGTTTTGTGATAGTCATGTCAGATGTTCTTGGGTTTGTATTTGAAATTGTTTATTTTTTCTCTTCATGAGTGTTGATGTACAAGAAAAAGATGTTCCAGGGAGACCTGTTTTAAAGCTGGTTTTAATACTAATAGATTGGAGAAGTATGATCGGAGTCGATCAAATTAATTGCGAATATATTAGGAATTCAAAATGAAATATATTTTAAATTAATGCTTGTCAAATGCTCAAAACCCTTTTTCCAAAGATTGATATTGGCCATATCTAACAACATATTTTAAATGTAGCTACCGGGAAATTCTGATCACAGAAGATTAGTATGGCACGAGTAAAATATTGTGTTAAAGTAAATTTTTTTGAAGAAAAGATCAAGATGCAAAAAAAACCGAGACGGGAAAAGAAGGTTCCGGCAGGAATGCTACATCGGCGGGAGTATCTGTGCTCGGCACTACTAATCAAGCAGAAAATGATAATTCGGGTGTTCTGTCTTCGACAGTTAAAAACCAGAATTTATCGACAAATGCTATGCCAATTTCGAAAAGAGTAGTTCCAAGAAAAGATTACAAGCTAATCCAGAAAGTGGAGGAAAAAGTAGTGCAAGAAAAAAGTATACGAACTGGAAGTCCTAGGCGCCGAAGGTAGATTTTTTGTCTTTTTACAAATTTATAAAAATTCATAACTGTAAATTGCAGAAAAAAAATGGAGGAGTGATTTTTAAACTGAAAATGCAGAATATAGCAAAGAGTCACGAGGTGGAATGTACTTCTTTCACTTGTTTTAGGGCGACATTGTTACATTTTGTTCCAATAAACGATTTACCAGATGTTGCGCGTGTACAACTACTGCTTAGCAACATTAGTGAACGACCGTTGCAGTTCAAACTGAAAAGTGAACCGGGTCCAGATATCTCTGTACTACTTATTTGTGCAAAAAGTTTGGATAAACAGTATTAATCTAAGAATTTCTGTGTATTAATCTCGCACTGGTCCTCACCCAATTTTTTTATCTAAGAATATGACATTTACGAGAAGTTGAACTCTTATAAAATTTGTGGATGGTTTTTATCAGCAAATTCATTTTCACACTTTTAGGCACTGCCAAGCGCAAGAGGTCATATTAATGCGCATGGCTCAGCGAAATGTATCTTAACATGGCGCCGTGAAGCAAATGTCGAAAAATGGTCAGATGCACAGCAGCCAAAAATGCTTCTTGTTCTGGATTTTCTTCGTGATAAGACGAAAAATGAAAAACACACTCTGACAAGACTTATTGGTAATTGCCTATTCGTCCTTTATATTGGTAAATTTTCCAGTTCTTATACGTTATCATATTTCAGCCCTTGTTATTTTTGATATCCTTTTTAGGTAAGGTTGTATCCGGTCAAACTTGTGATTCAGATAGACCACCCATCGAACAGCTTATGCTGGATGCAACTACTAATGAATCTTCTCGATCGATGTCAAAGTTCTTCTTTACATTGTTGATAAGAGAATAGAAGAATGAGAATGAAATATCCTGCAAATATAATTCAAATATAATTGAGAATGAAATATAATTCAGAGCTAGAATATCCCACCAAACGTCGCAGTACTATATAGGCAAGATTTAGAAGTAACAAGCACATTTGCATTTTCTTAATATATTTGTTTTCATTAAGTCACATAATCATCATATAATTAGTAATAACGCATATTCAGTAAGCTAAGCAAAACAATTTTTTTTTTCCTTTTTAAATACACAGTAAAATTTTAGGGATTCCTTACTACTCGACCAAGCACATATTCCTAGAAATGAAATAGAAGAGAAGGATAAAGCGAAATCGGAAGGTATAGTGAATAGTATTGCAGATTGGTTCAATCAACAGTCAAAAGATTCTCTACTTGGATTGCTTTTTTTGATGATCTTCTTCTTTTTTCTGGGGACGATAAGTAATTCCAAGCAAAAACAGCATGACTAGTCGGAATTTGATCTCTGTATGCTGTAGTTTTCAGTTAACTTTGATTCCCATTAATTTAAAATTTGTGGAAAGAGTTTGGAATCTATACATTTTTAATGTTTGCCTAATATTTGATCCCTTATTTCTAATTGTTATTAATATTAATTTTACTAGTGCAGCTGTGTTACATAAAATTTGCGGAGCATAATTGGAATGAAATAAAGAATATTTAAAGAAATTATTGTTTCTCATGAAAATGGAAATCGGTTGCCCAAGATTATCGATACATTATATTATACCTAGATGTGACCTATAAAGGGATGCAACTTGTTTCATATTTCATTTGGCTTTAATTCCTTTTTGCTATGTTCCAATTAGTACTTCGAATTTTAGCAATTACAAAGGTGATTATCATTAGTCATCCTCTCATCGAATATAATGCGTAATACTGTGTAACTGTATTGTTTGCTTTATTACTGCAATAGTATTTGCTTCATATATTCTGACAGTTTGCCTAAAATTTTGAGCATATTATTCTGAGATAGTACGAAATCTTTATTTATTCATTTGCAGTTGTTAGTTGTAATAGGCTAGTTGTATTAATATAGTTATTTTGTGTTATTTGAACCTAATTTAAAGGGTGGATTTTTCTTTAACCTTCAAAGTCAGTTTACCTATTCGTGTGATTTGAATTAAGGATTTGATATTTTTATCCGTTTAACTTTACACCGATACTGTATCTCGGTTTTGTGGTGAAGGAGCTCTGCATCTTCCATCTAGTATCTGATACATCACGTAATTTTCAGGTCTTTTTTTTTACGGTAATTTCCACGTTATGATATGGAGAAAGGGGTTGAAATATGCCCTCATCCTAATAGTAACAGTAATTCGGTGGAAGTATTGGATGAAGCTATCTTAACACTGAAACGCTGTTTAACTCTAACAAATGAATCTAGTTCTGGTAAATGCGTGGAAGAAATTGATGAAATCAAAAAAGAACGAATTGAGGGGGAAGAGGCGAGTTATAATTTTAGGTATTTTTCGAATAACATATGAAGTTTAATTACACATCCTAATGCATCTTGTGATTTTCCCGCAATGTAGAATAGATCTTTGTTAATAATTTAAAAACTTACCTTATGATGGTGCATTCCTGTTCTACGATTATTTTTGAACAGATTATTTGTTTACTGTTTTTTATTTACTAACATTTCCAGATCGATACGGAACAGGTCGATGAGATAAGCAGTACTCAGGTGACGCAATGCACAATGGAAGATTGCACACAGAATGGATCAGTTGCAGAAGCGGAAAGTCAAACAGTAGTATCCAGTATAAAAATAAGACGTATTCATATAGTTGAATATGAGAATGAATATCAGATGGCCGATATTATGCGACTTATTACGAAAGTACTTAGCGAACCTTATTCTATTTATACTTATCGCTATTTCATACATAATTGGCCAAAGTTATGCCTATTGGTAAGTCTTAGATTATTTACTAAAATATGTACATGTGTACAGATATGCTTTACAATTTACAATTTTGCAGTATTCACTTTTTGTCTTCACCGTATCTTTCATTTAACTGATATGATTAATATCTTATAGAATAGTGCTACTTGTAATCGGCATAAAAATCAGTTCATTATTAATGTTAGACATATCATTTTCTGGATATTTTCTAAATTCTTTCAAAAAAAAAAAAATATTGAGATTTATAAATAATTTCATTTTAGCACGAATTTTATTGAAATAATTTAGGCATTGGATGAGAACGATGACAAATATGTTGGTGCAATTGTCTGTAAATTGGATTTGAGTCGAGAAAATCGTCGTCGTGGGTATATTGCAATGCTTGCTGTCGACGAGTCATGTCGAAAAATGGGTATAGGTAAGTGAAAATAATAAGTTCTATTCTATCTCTTCTTAAAAGCATCTTGTTTACTTCTGTTGCAAAATTTACATTTTCAGGTACTCGTTTGGTGCAAAAAGCTATATCAAATATGCAAGAAATGGGCTGCGACCAAGTGATTATTTACATTTATTAACGTTTCCTTTGTTGTTATTAATATTTAATTGCTTTAAGCTTATCGTTTCTTTCTAACCAATATTGACTATTGTGTCATAGGCAAATAACAGATTTCTTCATGTTTATGCTTGTTTCATTTTTTTTCTTCAATCACGCATAATCTCTCTTTAAATTTCTACCAATTTTCAGGTTGTATTAGAAACTGAAGTAACAAATTCAGATGCTTTGCGCCTGTACAGTAATTTAGGATTCATCCGAGAAAAACGGTTATTTCGTTACTATTTGAATGGTGTGGATGCTTACAGGCTTAAGCTTTTCCTAACTACTATCAATGAATCACTTCTTCTTGATCCACCGATGTTTCTTGGTAGTACTCAATGCGTTCCATAAATTGTTTTGTATATTCATGTTGCAGCAGTAGTAGCTAAAAACCATTCACTAAAATTATCATTTGTTATAAAATTAGAAAATTAAATGAAAGTTTTTCTATTTTTAATTAATATAAAAATACTGCATTAATTACTTTCAATAGTTTTAGAATAGCGAATGTCGTTAGCATCTGAATTAATATGATATGATATCAGAAAATAAAATAGCAAACAAACGATAGTTCTTTTATTGAAAATTTTAACAAAGAAGGAAACATCTATGGAAATATACTCTCTGTCTTACCTGCATTTGTGTTTTTTGAAGCTTTATGAGCGATAACTTATTCACCAGTTCCTATTTTTAAATATGAAAGTTAACCGTTTAGATGATTTGTTTCAGTTTTATTGTTAAGTTGATCTATGCGTTTGTCAATTTTTTTTTTTTTTTTTTGCACTGCAAATTTTGATTCATTGTATTTCTTTACCTTTTTTCTTTTTTTCTTCAGCACTTGATTTTTTATCTTCTTCGTCAATTGATTTATTTGCCATATTTGTGTATCAATGTGCTTTGAGGATTATTACGAGGAAAAATAACTGATTTTAGGGTAGATATTGTGGAAGGAAATACTGTTCATCAATTCTGGGGGCATTTAAATTTATCATCCTCGATCGTAGTAAGTTCCTTGACTCTTTCACATCCCTTGTGTCAACTAAGAATACAGGTTATGATTAAAATGGAACAGTCTTTCGTTTCGGATAATTACGTCTTATTTTTTGTTGGACATGTTATATTATGACAGGGAGTCCTTTATTCTGAAACTCGCTAATGAAATTTGTATAATTCTTTGTAGTTAGCTCATTCGTACTTTTTTTTTTTTTTGACTAACTCCATAAAATGCAGAGGAATCAACAAATGAATAGTTTTTATTTATTTTCTCACATACATAATAAGGAAAAAAGGAAGGTATGTGTTTTATCCAAGATATCAACAGTCTTGAATTCTACTCGAAACAAATTTCAGACCGGCATGGTTAGTAAGTGTAAAGGCCGCAATAAAAATATGAATTGGTAAAAATTGTTCTGTCCTTTTGGGAACTTTAGTTACAAGGGAACAAATAAGGTTGTCAATGATTTTTACTCAAAACCACTGAGGTAGCTTGTGCAGGATACAAAGCAGATTAGAAATCAGAACATGGATCCGAAATGTGAGCTACAAAAAAAAAGAAAAATGCATATGAACAAATAGATATGAAAAGATCTTGGACTAGGACAGATTAGTCTTGAAGCTGTAGTTCTGGCCAATTAAGGAGAAATGCAAAGTGTTCGATCAAATTTATGGAATAATTTCATTTAATCTCTTATCGACAACAAATTTACATAGTGGCTAAACAATTTATAGTGGATACAGTTCATTTTCGACGTTTAGGACTCGGCCCACGCCCTTTTGTTGGTTTACGTTTCTGAGTTGACTTATGCATACGCTCCTCCTCGCCACGATCACGTGCTCGATCAGCTGAAAAAGAAAATTAGGGATTCTGAGCTCTGACAAAACATTTACCTAAAACTGACAAAATGATGAAAATCTCAATTAACAGTGAGAATAATGGCAGTAGAATAAACAAAGTAAAAAAATAAATAACCGATCGGATACCATTAAAGAAAATATTAATATAAGGTGATCCAATATACCTCGTTGAGCTTCTGCCTCCAAATCACTCCAGTCTTTGCCTTCACTTTCATCAGAATCCATAGTCGCTTCTGATTCTAAATAGAACTTATTAATAAATAACTTTATTTTTTTCCCATTTTAAACAGCTTTGTGTAACTAACCAGATTCAGACGTTGCTTCCGGTGATTCTTCCTCGTCTTCATCCTCATCGGAACCTTCTGAAATAAAAGTTCCCATGAAAATTCTTAGGAAGAGAAAGCTGGAAACATTTACCAAAGTCGTACAAAAAAGTACCAGTTTCATCTTCACTTGGTGTATAAGCGTCTTCACTTTCTTCATCTTCTTCTTCATCTTCATTCTAAAATGAAAAAAATTATCTTCAAATAATAAAGGAATTAAGGAAATAAATAGTCACGTACATCGCTATCTGTGGCCAAGAAATTCCATCCACCATTTACGAAAAAATCTTCAGGATCATCTAAGATAGTCTTCATAATCTTTGCCCAATTCAATGACTGAATTCCTTCGGAATAGTATATATCGCAAGAGCTAAAATCAATAATGAAATGCATTTATTGGTACGGCAAATAAGTCAAGAAATACAAAAGCAAAGACATCAGAAGAATGCACTGCAAACTGATAGCTTAGCAGGTATCTTCGCATAAATTTTAAACGAAGGACACAAATTATAATATCTAAGTGAAAACATATGTTCTTTTTCTTAATCTCAAGCACAAAAATTAGCTCAGTACCACTAACTTGAGCCATTCTTTTACACTGTCAAGTGAGGTCATTGGAATCTGCTGAACCATTTGGGTCTTTTTGGAATAATCCTTGAAAACGAAAACCATATCAAAATTCTTTAGTTGGAATGATACTCGTTCGAAGTGTACAAATTCCACTTCATCCAACGTTACAACGAATGGAGGCTGAAACGGTTACTCTGATTACTTTTTTAATAAATTTATTTAAAGTTTTTTTTTTTTTTAAAGTAAGATCACGTAATGTGTGAGAAATTCCACCAATACAAAGTGCTATTATCCACATCTTGCAGTTATGTTGACTGTCAGAATGCAATTGCAGCACTCTTGAAAGTCCCATCTTCAATATTTGCTGAAATCACATATTAACGAAAAGTGGATTTCCAATTTCGAACAAAGTAACGAACCCATTCACTCAAATTGACCAAACATGATGAAGTTGGTTTTAGCGTGCAAGATGATCGATAGGGAACGCCAAAGAACCCAAGTTCATTAAATGGCACATCAAAATCAAATGCCTCATTTGTCTGACGAACGACCTGCATGAAAAATTAAAATATCGGTGCAAATTTACAGAACAAAGATTGCAGTAACTCGAAAATTAAAGCAATTTAAATCCGTTTGCATGAAAATATATACACAAAAATATTACGTAATTAGTTAGGCCCTATTACACTTTAATCCTAAAATAACCAGTCCTTTTTTCACCAACTGCATCATATCCTTTACAATACTACAACGACAAGATATTCTCATTTACCTTGTCACAGAAGTTTTGGAAAACTTGATTCAAGCGTTTCCTCATTTCTCGCTCAAGTTGTTCACTTTGAACATCATCGCGATCCTGCATATGATGATATTTGCCCAAATCAGTAGTGATTTCACCAACTTCCGTATAAAACTGGATATCTTGATATTTACGTTTACCCCATAATACTGGATTCTGCAATTAGAAATCATCTCATTTATAAATAACTCAGAATTCTATGAATCAGGTGCCTCTCCTGAATTCTAGTTCCTTTCTTCAATGTTATGAAATCTTGTAATATTTATAAGCACAATAATTAAATGATATTGCTCAAATTGCACCACTGATCAATAAACAGTATTAACAGCAAGATGACTATGGGTGTCTTAGAATAATCCATCCACTCAAGACATTATTGTTAAATTTATATGAAGAATAAATTAAGCCTAAAGCATGTTATATATGACCCATAAAGTTCGTTAACCTTTACTACTTATGGTGATCATATGCAAAATGGAGAAATAATCCTTCCGTAACTCACTTTCAGTGTGAAATGTATTAGTATGATCATTTCATTATCGCAAGGTTGGAAAAATGCATGTTTTATGTTGTTATATAGCACATCGATTTTGTCACCTCGCAGTGAGGTGTATCGGAAACCTGAAAAAGCACAGTTACAAATTACAAACTGAAGTAATCAAAAAAGCATGAAACAATAAAATTCATATGTTCACCAAAATTTTTAGGATCTAATAACTTGCCATTAGCGTGCGCTTCCAACGAACCACTGATTCGTTTGGTAATGATATTCGGTCTAACAAAAAGATCCTTAAGCTTTGGATTGCCTTTTGCCGTTGATAAGATCAGCTTATCTTGTTTTACAGCTCCCTCTTTTTCGCGTTCTTCGGCTTCCTGAAAATTTCTTTTCTTTTTTTTTTTGTATCGAAATTCCGGTCTACACTAAGTTTTTTTTTTTTACGTTTTCACAAGATTCCATGAACAAGAATTTCACCTGCGTCCTGAATTTCTTCTGCATTTCTTTAATCAAACGATATGCCGTATTTAGGTTACTACTAGGAGCGGTCACCTCTCCATGTTCTTTCAAATTACTACTCCGATAAGTTCTGTAAATAATGGCAGAATAAAAATAAGCGAAAGAAAATTTTCTTACGAAGCAAACCGTTAAAATTTTCCTTCTTTATCACAACTTTGGAATTGATGAAATGAGTTATCTAAAATCACCAAAAATGTATATTATACTAATGTAAGAAAAGAAAGTATAGAAAAAAGACCATATTCTAGAAACTTACAATTCCTTCACATAAGTTGACAGTGGGTTTGGAAATTGTAGTTGATCCCTTCCAATCTGTGAGCCAGGATGCATGAAGTTTACACGCAAATAAGTATAATCACCCTCCACAGACTGACTCGTATTTTTGATCATCGAAATGTGAAATGGTACGGGAACCCCAAATATTGGTAGTATGACGGAATCATGACGACGATCTGAAAACTAAGCAATGAACAGTGTGTCCAAAATTAGCCAAGGAATAATCCCCAAAACAATTGCAGCATTGGTACTGAAACTTTTTCCTATACTGATTCTTGGCGAACTTTCTTCAAGTTTCAATTTCGAAGACCAAACTTCTTCATTTCATTCTCTGCTTTATACAAATTTCACCAATCCATTATACTTATAGACATTCGAAATCTAACATTATAATGCAAACAAACAGAAAGTTAACTTAAAAATCCAAATCACAGCTTTCTTTTTAGAGGTCCTGAGGCCTCTAAAAAATGAAAATCAGCTTCAAGTTTGTCAAAAACGAATAAGGTATGTTCTAGAGTCGAATCGAATTAACTTCCTAGCTAACTCACCAACATATATTTGAAGTTTATCGACTTCGGCCTCCTTGGGAAATTTTTCATAGCTTTTATAGGAAATATTTGATTTCTTAATTTTCTTGATATCTTTTTGACCCGTTTGATCAGCCAAACGTTCACGAGCTGCCTCGTTCAATCGTTTTCCCAATTCTTTTTGATGCTCTTTACGTTTATCTTCATTTGTTGTCTTGTTCTGAATATGAAGTCAAACCATATATTCACTGTCATAGCAATTTCCCACCCGCAATGATCATATAACTCGAGTTAACTCACTTCTATGGTTCAACAAACATATCTTACCTAGGAAAGTTTTCACTTCTTTAAAGTTATTTTTTTTATCTCGAAAAATTTACCAAAGTTATTTTTTTTATCTCGAAAAATTTACCCGTGTTTGTTCTTGCAACAACACTGATCGCCTTCCGCGGCCAAACCCTTCGCCCAGATTGTTCTCCTACAATCAAAAAAATGAAAAAACTTAGCTTACATACAAGATTGATTTCTGGCATTTGAAAATTAATTTATACCTTCTGAAAGATATGGATTAGGGATGTCGATTTGATGACGACAAAAAATGTTACACTTTAATACCTATCACTGAAACAATACGGCAAAAGCAATATTTCAATAAGGGAAGAATTTATTTTCCATTGATTTTGATTGACTAACTTTATTGTCGTCAGCATGCGAAGTTTCTGCTTCATCTTTAAATCGAATCACATTTGATTTTATACGTGATTTTGCCTTTTCCGTAAGTATTTCATTGACACCTTCCTTAAAACACAAATGTGTATTTATGAACAGATCATTTTCACTAAACTATATATATATATAGCATACAAGTACAATTATTAAGTATTAATAAGCTAAGCGCAACAGTATTATTATTAATCGCCAAATGAAATCTCTTTTGTTAACCACTTTCTTTTTTAGCACTTTTCCTAAAAGAAAAAAATTGAAAATTGATACCAAAAACTAATGTATACTAGTACAAAGGATTATTTCCTCTTGCAACTCGTGTTAATTACTACAGTTTAAGCAATATTTTAACAACTCTGATATAAAACTAGCTTACTGCAGAAATTAGAACAGTATCAGAAAGCAACACAGCTGATGTCTTTGACTGTTCATCCTTGGCGGTCAGATTTTTCAGACCTTGTAAACCTACATAAACAATGAAAACCATGTTTGGTACCACTTCCACATCACTTCTGGGACTTATGAGAGCTGTTGACTCACGAAATTCAAGTCCCGTCAAGAATCTACAAACGCAATTACATGAAAAAGAAAAGTTCAGAAGTTTCTTAACATCTTAATTTTGCGCTTCAACTTGCTTGATTCTGGAAAGTTTGTCATTTCTATGCTATTTCATTCTTTCAGAAAATTTCGACTAAATCTGCAGATATAGAAATTCTACAGATCATACAATAGCAGCCAATAACTATAGTAAGAAAGATATTAACTGAGATAGCTAAATGATTAATACTCTATCTAAATTAATGGAATGCATTTATTACCCAAAATTATTTTTGACCAAATGATCCAGTATCACTGGCTTGTCTTTGGCAGCTTCCAGGCCCGCAGCATATGCTTCACTCAATTTCTTTCCCGGTTTCAAGGCTTCAATGATCGCATTTTGAATAATCAACAATGATTCGTAAGCTTCTTGTAACTCTTTCGATGGATCCACAAGCATTGTTCGACTCAGATTTGAACAATACGACTGAAAGTGAGGATTTCATTGATAAAATTAAGTTCATTAATTCCTGTAATATTTCAGCACTCAATACGATGAACAAATGTTGCAATTATCCACCTTAATATTACTTACTTCATTAGTTTACACGTACTACTTGACCTTAGTGATTTTTCTGCTATGCATCAATATAATAGACAGTGTAAAGAAAAAAAAAAGAAACTATTGGAAATTAAGGTGAACAATGCTCAAAAAGTTATAATTAACCATCAAAGCGATAAGAAATGCTTGCCATTTTTAGTGGACAGTGGTATTAAGCATTTGGTGTCATACTTTAGTATTTAAATTACTCAGATTTGGTTACACTTATCATTTATCAAAAGGATAATATGACAAAGTTCAATCGAATGTAATAAAAGAATCATTTACCTGATATCGAGCTCCAAGTGAACAGATAATTGTTCCATAATGTATAAGCTTATCATTACTGAAACATATTTTCTTCATTGGAAATAATTTTTAAAATCTACCAAGGTGATCCATACAAGAAATGAAAATAAAATTACCTTTCAGCACTCAATTTCAATATATATTCGCCACCGGATTGAATAATTGGTGTATAACACGACTCGAGATTGCTATTGTCTGCAAGACGTTGCTGCACTTGTACTGTTGTCATCGCTTTTTCTATATCTTCCGCAAAGCGGCTGTGCTTCACTTTCTAGGAAATTATACTAATAAATTAGGTTTGATAAGATCAACTAGTATTTGAAGTAAATGAGTCTTACTGCATTCACTAAACTATGATTTTCGACGCGAATATTATACAAATTAAGATTACCTTTGCTTGGTCAATGATATCAATAATTTTCTTCCTGGCATACGACCATGCGTTAACTGATGCTTGAGCAGCTTTTCTACACAGTTCAACTTCAGTGTCATCTTTCTCTGACAGCAAATGCGCAAAAGAAATGGACACGTCAACTGTCTGAAATTCATACCAACTTTTCTTTGATAGAAGCTGCGTGGTGGTACAGTTGAAAGAAAATTACCAGTTTGAAAAAAAAAAAAAAAAAGAGGTTTAGACATGAAAACAATAATTCAGTTACCAGTTTGATACCGTATTCCTCCATAATGCTGTTCCATCCCTTAGCGAAGTCTGAACTATATGAATCTTTCGCAAAGTGTCCAAAGGAAGATCCACTTTCCTTCAGTTTTTCGACTAACTTTATAAAATTTGCTTTGTCTTTATCCGACTAAAATAAGCGCGTTCTTTTTTTTAATATAGAATCAAGCAGTTAGAAATTCACAACTCATAAGAACATAAATGATCTGATTAGGAATAATTAATAAAGAAATGAAGAAAATGAATAAATACAAAGAACCGAGAATGTAATAATGAAAATAAATATCATTATTTTGATATTTATTCACGCCTCTTTTATCATCAAAAAATCTTTATTGTATGTCTATCGCTCACGTTTTCTTTCAAAAGAAAGGAAAAGAGAGAACAATAACATAACGAAATTACGAATGGTTATTTTTTATTTCATTCATGCTTACCTTTTCACGCGTAAATACAACAACCGGTGGCACTAAACCAGTTGGTTCCTCGTTCCCAACTGGTTGAAAAAATAAAGCTTTACGTGAACTTGCTAAAAAGTAAACAGTGTTCTTCGTAAATATTGCCAACATATCATTTAGTTCGTAATTGTATAGCCAGATCTGTAATTTATTACTGACGAAATCAGCAGGATAAAAAAAATTATATATATATATACATATATATATATATATATAGCGATCAGTACTACTATCAAGTTGAGGAGCAGTATATTTACTTGTAACGCATTGGACTTCGAGTATTGAGATGCATCATCATCGTTACCAACCATGAATACTAAAGCATCTACTTTCGATAAATTTTCATCATTTCCATTATTCTGTAAATTCAAACAGTACACTTAGCATTTTCAAACAGCTGCTTTAAGAAAAATTCACTGTCCATGGCTATATCTCAATAAAAAAAATCTTTTAATTCATACCGGGGATTATTCATATGATACTTATTATTTAACAATCAAAAATATCTGTTCCGACCGCAAGTAACTGATTTATGATTCATTTATGATCCCACTTCTTTCTACTGCAAAATAATCCAATAAAAAAGTTACGAAATTTAAATTTTTTAATTCACTCACCCAATAATCGTATAATTTAGCTATCCGTTTCAGGAATATTTCCTTATTTATGGTAACTTTTTTTGTGTCACCCATAGTGACAAATACTGAACAGTAATAAAAAATAGAAACACACGTTTACGTTCACGTTAAATATTAAATGCTCACAAATCTGAAAATTGATATTACGTAATCCTACACATGTCCGATAAATTTTTCCATTTTAAGCAAATATTATACAAAAAAAAAATAATACTAAAACTTTACGTGAAAACGTAAATTACGTCCCACGTCCGCTCCGCGCTCATTGTTAAAATTATGCCGCCAATATTGCGACGACTTTCAACGTAATGATAGGACAGCAAGTCATTACGCAACAACTTGTCCCTTTTATAAATGTAATTAATCACTTCTATTCGAATTTAAAGGAAAAAATTCTTTCATTGTTTTTATTTGTATGGAAATTTTTGTTTGATTAATATAATATTATAAATTAAATTATAAAGTAGTATAAATTAATTTAAACAATGTAATAGTATAAAGTAATCTAACATATACTATGAGAAAAGTTAGTATAATCAATAATATATTCTATTAATTTTGTTCATCACTTATTATCCTGTTCTATCAATTAATTAATGATTATACTTCAACTATTCAATTTCTTTTTTATCTAAGTATCACCAAAATGTAACATTTTCAAAATTTTTATATATATATATATATAAAAAAAAAAAAAAAAAAAAAACGAAAAAAAGAAAACAACTTTAAAAAAAAAAAAAAATCTTCAATATTACTTAAATATTGTAAAAAATTATTAGTTCATATTCCTTCCTTTTTATAATAAAAATAAAAATCTTTCATTCGTTTTTTTTTTTTTTTTCTGGAAACAATGAAGAATATAATAATAAAAGACTAAAAATGAAACATTTTTCAAACTTTTAGAAATAGTAAATTATTATTGTAACTTTTTTTTTTTTTAATAATGTGATAACTTAACAGATATGTTAATGAGATAGTGTTAATTAAAAAGGAAAATATTAAACTTAATTAAAAGTGATAAAGTAATAATTAAATATGAAAAAAATACAAGCAGTATTTGAGTATTATTAGAGATAAAAAAAAGATTAATTAACTGTAATAAAATTGAAATGCAATTAAAAAAAAAAAAAAAACTGAAACGAACGAAACTTTTTTCTTCTTTCTTTCATTCATAAAATTCACTAACTAATTGACTATAAATAATAGCTTTTGATAATTTTACTGATTAACTAATGAAAAAAATATTAAAAAGTTAAAAAAAAAAAATGTAATTTAAAAAGACTTAAAATTTCAATAAATTAATCATACAATGGAATAATTCCAGGGTGCATTTAAATATATATATATAGTTATCGTTGAAAAAAAAAAGAAACAAATGAAATAATAATTAAATAAATTAACTACAAAATTATACATTGTTGCAAGAAATCACTTTATGATATTTTTTAAAATATAAATGATAATTTTAAATTCATTAAGCTTACAATTATTTGAAATAGGATATTTAATTGTAATAATTTTAATTTCTATCTGTTTATTTAAATAATCTGTTCAATGAATGCTTTCTGTTTATATGTAATCGTTATACATTTAATTTTTGTTTTATATTATTAAGAAATGGAATTTTTGAAAGATACTTTTATCAGTATGAAGTTCTTATCATTTGTTTATTGATAATGTTCAATGATAATATCGCTGTTATTCGGATTATTCATTCTCTAATTGCAGAATAATCATAATTTCAAGAATAATAGAAAATTCAATGTTTAAATATTGCTTCATCATTCTTATCATTTATATGGATGATAAGAAATGACCATTCGCAAACATATCTTTCCATCAATAATTTAATTTATTTCCTTTATTGATAATTAATTGTTAAATGAGTTATTGTAAAATTTGACTGATAATAATTTTAGCTAATTTATTTCAATCATATAAGAAAGTATTAGCATTGTTTTTATTTTATTTCATTTCATTTTTTTTTTTTTGCTTATACACTTAGCTGTTTCTCTTCTTTTTTTTTTGTTAATTTTAGAAAGTAATAAATTATTCTTTAAATTTATTTTCGTTTAACAATTAAACAAGAAATCTTTCAGTGATTAATTTCAATCAAATATTTGCAAAAGAAAATTTTTCTACATGAAAAAAAAAAATAATAAATAAAAAGGAAAACAGAAAGAGTAAATGTTTTTGAAATATTCTAATTGAATGAATGGATGAAGTGATCATATAATTGTACAATTTTGCAACTGAAACTCAAATTAAATTCTCTTTGGAGATAAATAATATTTGTTATTGTTGAAAAACGGCAAAAAAAAGAAAATGAAAAAAAAAAAATAAATTAAATATAAATATTTTTTATTTTTTATTGAAAGTATAATTTGTGATAAAAATTTTTATGTGTTTACAAATTGATATTACATCAAAATTATTAAAAAATTTTTATGCTTTAGTTCAAATTTCAAAAAAAAAAGGAAAGGAAAGAAAAAAAAAATTAACAGAAAATTAATGGAAATTAATCATTCATTCAGAATAGCGAAATTTACACTTCAATACCAATTTAAATTTTATACTTTTCAGTACTGAAATGGAATTAATAATAATACTTTTCTTTTTCTTTTTTTGCATAAATTTTTATTAAATATTTTAAAGCACTTTGTTATGAAGCATTTTTTCTCTTTTTTTGTAAACTTTTGATGCAGAAAATGATGAAAATGGTAGTGCAGAAATGATAGTGCAAAAGATATGACCATTTCGAGACAACAACGATTAGTTTGTCCGATATAAATTAATTTTAATAATATTTCCATTTGCAACTAGTTTATCTGATCAAATGATTATTGTCATATGCAAAATAAATTATTAATGCTAAGCTTTGAAATTTATAATTGGCATATTTGGTTTATAAAATGTAATATGATTTTATATTTATGGCAATGATAAACTGTAATTATAGGTGTATATTTTAAATTATTTAAAAACGACCAATTTATATTATAAATTATATTGTGGTATATTACTAATGGCTTAGACATAGCTTGATTGTAAGAAACGAAAAAAGTTTTACTATTACTACTATTACTCTTACTTATTACTTCTTATTACTATTACTATTTACTATTAACATGACAATTATTGTTATTATTACTATTACTATTACTATTACTCCTACTAATAAAATAATTAGTTGATGATGTTAACTCAACTGATATGATGTTAACTCAACTGATATGATGTTAACTCAAGTGATATGATGTTAACTCAACTGATATGATGTTAACTCAAGTGATATGATATTAACTCAACTGATATGATGTTAACTCAAGTGATATGATATTAACTCAACTGATATGATGTTAACTCAACTGATATGATGTTAACTCAACTGATATGATGTTAACTCAACTGATATGATGTCAACTCAAGTTTGTGATTATTAATAGCGCAACCAAACATGTTTAAATTATTAATTGGTTTTATCATTACATTATTTTTTCATAACATGATATGCATTTAGATTGTTTTTTCCTTTTAAAAATCATGCAATTAAGTTAAATTTAATTAAATTAGATTAATTAATCAAATTGTTGAATATTTGTAATGAAAGTTTGTTACGTAAAATTTGTTAAAGCGAATAAGTATATTTCAGCTTACAAATCTAATCAATCAGCAATTATTGGTACCTTATTAATAAAGACATTTTCTTTTTTTTTTTTTTTTTGAACAACAAAAATTCTATAATAATTTAAATTATCTTCAATAATTACTTTATTTCAATAGCATAAGTAAATTTGAAAAAGTTAATGTGAATATTCTGTTTGAAATAATTTTTCAATAAATACTCTGTACTAATAGAATCGGTAACAAACAATTTATCCCTCTCATCTCCTTTTCTTTTTCTAAAATTGCTGTTTTAGTTCATTCTTTTCCGGATTTTACTTCCTGTTACTTATTCTTATTTTAATTAATATCTTCTATCACATAATATGGATATGTTAGATCCAATTACCTATTCTCTATTTCGATTACCAATTATTAGCTATTCTCTATTCCAGGATTACTAATTATTACCTATTCTCCATTCCAGGATTACTAATTATTACCTATTCTCCATTCCAGGATTACTAATTATTACCTATTCTCTCTTATTAATTGTTAGTCCTAGGAATGAAATAAATTTTATTATTAGAACCCAAAAAATTTCAATGAAAAGTGCAAAATGAATGTAGAATAAAATGATATAAGTGAAAAACTTCTAATAAAATTAAAATTAATCCTTCATGTAAATTTAAAAGAATTTCAATGCAATTTATTATTATAATGAAAGAAACAAAATATTTGACAAATATATCTGAAATGTTATTATTATCTTTAGCTTCTCTCATTTTTTTTTTCTTTTTTTTTAAAATTACATCAAAAGCTGTAAATTTCTATTTTTTTTTTCTTTTTTCAATGCACTTATAAAAAAAAAAAATGATTTAAACTAATAAATCATTGTTGATGAATTCTATTAAAATAAAAAACGAAAGAATAAAATTAATTATCATTATTATATCAATCGTATCAACTTATCACCTCACGTGCATTCCACGTGAAACGCATTTTGAAGCTAATATGAGCTAATCATTTTAGTGCATCAATGTTTACATCTTTCCTGCTCGTACAATAAATTCATCTCAATGTTTAGTAATAACAGTAATCTCTAGCAATTACTATTTTATATTGTTATTAAACTATATAATTAATTAATTAATTAATTAATTATTATTCGTATTTTTATATTTTATTTATAATTATTTATTAATTATATAAGGCTTATTAGGCTCTAAACAATTCATTTAAGTAATACTTATTTTATCATAATATTTCTACATAGAAATTATAAAAAGTCCCACTTTTCTTTTCTTTTTCTTTTTTTTTTATTAATATTTTAATAATTATTTTTGATATACGATTAAATCATAATACTTGTAGAAAGAATTTCTAAAGGATTTATAAATCTATAAAAAAAAAAAAAAAAAAAAAAAAAATTGAAACTTTTGATATGTTTTTATTTGGAAATAATTATATGAGAAATTATGCTATCAAATAAGTAATTCCATTGTTTACTTTCTTCTTTTTTTTTTTTTTTTTTTGCTACTGATTAAAAGATAACTCAAAAAAAAAAAAAAAAAAAAAAATTACTAATTTAATCGCTAATATTATCCAATTTTTTACCTTTTTCTTTTCCCTATCAAATTCTTTCCACATATCTAACATTAA